TGTATTACAAGAAATACTTTCTCTTTTTTGGTACCAGGCATCGAACTCGCAACTTCAGCTTGCCTGGCAGGTGCTGTGCTGCTGAGCTAAATCCTCAGCCCTGGTTTCCCTTTTTTGGAAAATTGTGGAAAATGGTTTTTTTTTGGTATTTAATATTACCACATAGGTATTGTTTTGTTGTTTGTGTTGGCTGTCACTGTGACGAAATATCTGTGATAAAAGATAAGAAGCAAGATTCATCTTGGCTTATGGTTTCAGAGACTGCAGTCCATGGTTGTTGGCTCCACTGCTTTGGACCAGGGCAGCACAGGACACCAAGGCTTCCCGTGTGTGGTCGAGGAGGCCTGTTTACCTCTTGGTGTCCGGAAACAAAGAGGAGACAGGAAGGGGCAGGGCCTAATGTCTCCTTCCAGGCCACACCTCCAGTGACCTAACTTCCTTCCCTTAGGCTCTACTTCTTAAGGGTTCCTCATCTCCCAAAAGCACCATAGGGAAGTGACCCCATGGATCTTGAGGGAACATTTAAGATCAAACCACAGCAGGGTATGGCGTGATCCCAGCACTCTGGGAGGCTGAGGCAGGAGGACTGCAAGTTTGAACCTAGCCTAGGCAACTTAGCCACTTAGTGAGACCTTATCTCAAAATGAAAACCAAAATGAAAGCCAAAACCAAACCAAATAACCAAACAGGGCTGAGGATGTAGCTCAGTGCAAAGGTCCTGGGTTCCATCCCTAGTACTGAAAAAAAATTCAAACTATACCATTACTGATGCATAACTGTCTTAGATACCCCAGAAGCATTGTAGTGTAGTGGTTTAAAGGAGAGTTTTGATACCTAAGGGCCTGTGTTCCGACCACAGTCTATCACTTATGGGCAGCTTTCTGGCCTCGAGGGGGTTCCTAAATGCTGCCTGCCTCGACTTTCCCATCTGTGAAGAGGGGAGGCTAATGGTAGACAACTGACAAACTAAACTTAGGTGGGACCTAATAAAACAGACCACTAACAACTAAATACTTGCAGGTGGGACCTAGTGAGATTTTATTATCCTAAGTACAGATGTGGAGTGTGTCTATAAAATACAATCAGAGGAAACCAAAACCATACCCTCTGCTGAAGCCAGAGAACCTCTTTTACTGCCTCATTTTGCTGGAATGGAAATTCCTGAGACCCTTGAAGAAAACCAGCAATTTATGGTGAAAAAAACACCCTTGCTCTCCTTCAAGAAATGGTTAATCTGTCAATGAATATTAATAGCCTAGAGCCATGGGAGAAGTGAGTTTTGGGCTCCAACTTTTTTTTTAAACCATCTTAACTATTTTATAAACAGACATACACATGTACATATATGTTTTCTTCTTTCAACCTCTCACACTAATGAAACAATATGAACAATATGAAAGTCATTTATTGTGGATTTTTTTTGGTACCTGGAATTGAACTGAGGGCCTTAGAAAACAGCTCAGAGTGTTCCCAGATGGCTGCCCCAGGCCTTGACAGTGTACACCTCACAGGCTGCGGCCCCTCACATCCAAGAGGACACCCTGAGAAGAGTTTCTAAGCATAAAAAGCACACAGTTAAAGCCGACAGGATCTGGTAAGTTGGAAAGAACCAGGCTTCCACCTGTCCCTCAGGGCGAGCACGGGAGAGGGGCTGGCTGCCCTTGGAACTTTCCTGGTGTCAAAGGTCCCCACGAGAACAAGCCCAAAGGAGCAAGGAGCAGGGGAGGCAGGGACCCAGGCCAGCTGCTCAATAAAGTCACAAAGAAAAGAAGCCTTAAAAAAACCACACCTGTGACGCTGCCACAGTCGAAGCGGGGACACACCCAGGCAGTGGCGCAGCTGGGAGCGAAGCTGCATAGAGTGACAGAGAGTCGGACAGACAGCAAGACAGAAACCGGACCCATGACGTTGAAGCTGATGGCAGAATCATAGTGCGGTGTATGGTGAGAGGACCAGCTCTCTTGGAAGGCAAACCAAAAATGGCACATCCTGGACACGGTCTTTTCTTTCCTGAAGCAGAGCGAGAAGGGTGGTGGTGGCTTTAATAGCAGACAGGAAGGTGCAGACACTATTGTCATGTGTGCACACTAAAAGAAACCGGAGAGGTAGAACTACAATTCCCTGCACCTGGAGATCATTGTGTACGGCATTTTTGAGATCAGAGTTGTGTGTGGATTTGGATGAGGTTAAACCATTAAAATCAAAATCACAGGGTCTTTTTTTTTTGAGATAAGGTCTCACTCTGTAGTTCAGGCTGGCCCTGAACTCAAGGCAATCCTCCTGCCTCAGCCTTCTGAGTGTGGGGATTATAGGGGGGCACCAGGCAGTCGAAGTTCTCAAGGCTAAGCCTGTGCCTGAAAATCAGCCACCATAGGATGCAGCAGCAGAGGGGGACAAAGCTCAGGAAGACAGCGGAGGCTCTGAAATGGCTTTGAGGAAGAAGAAGAGGAAAAGAAAGATGGTGACTGAGCAGTGTGGTGAGGGGACCCCAGTGTTTGCAGGCTTCTGCGGCTGGCTGTGTATAATACACCAGACACGGTGCAGAACTGATGCAGAAGGACACATTAGTTTCTTTACTAGAAATGGGTGCATAACATAGGCAGTCAGTGTTGCCTTAGTACAGTCTGAAAAATGTGTAAGAAACCTTTCACATACAAGATGGTGCATTTATTTCATCTGCAAATGATAACAAATCTTTTGTTATTATAGCTGTCAAATGTCAAAAAAATCTAGAGACACTTACCCAGCATTAATATTTGGCTATTGTTTTCCCAGTACTGGGGTTGAACCCCAGGCCTTCGCACTGAATTGTACCCCAGCCCTTTTATTTTTTTTATCTTGAAACAGTTGCCAAATTGATGAATTGACAGCATGAGTTTATACTTGTGACTGCCCTGTTTCAGCCTCCCAGAGCGCTGGGATAAAAAGTGTATGTCACCATGCCTAGTGTCTTTTTTATACAATGCATTTCCTCATACATAGTTTGAGTAATACTGTGTAGTGTAGCATAATATAATGTTATATATCCATTTTTATCCTGATCGTAAACCTTTTTTATAGTCTTTGCAAACATAATCTTAAAGAATTACACCAGTCATCTTGGGAGCCATGTTTTACTCAGCTTTCTCCAGATAACCTGACATTCAGAACACTCTATCCTCCCATCCTAAACTGCAGTAATCCTAGAGGAACTCTAAGGGAAACCCTCAGGGGCCCGAGCTGTCCCCTGCAGCTGTCTGTCCTGTCCCGGGGTGAAATGCAGACAAATCCACAAACCAGTAAGCAAAACAGTGACCACAGCATGAAAATGTAGGTGGGAAGCATTTCTGAAATAATTTCTTTTGTTCAGTATGAGAGGCCATTCCTTGGAGGAGATTCCTAGAAATGGAGTCCCAGGGTCAGTGGATGGTCAGTGTCATTTTTGAAAAGGATCACACTGAATTTATTTACTTCTTTATTTTTATATGTTTGCGTGTAGAATAATTGCGTTCTTCTTGAGGAATTGCTCCGGATTTGTGTGGTCATTTTAGTCACTGATTTTAGACTTGCAATGCGGCTGTGTGAGCCTGTCCTGCTTCCTTGGTGGGGGGGGGGCTCTGAACACTCCCCTCACCCCCCACCATCCCAGATCTGGAACACTGAGGCAGCAGAGCTCCGGGACAGTTAACCCGGCGTGGCCTCTCCTCCAGGGCCGCCTCTCTTTCTGGGCCCTTTCCCTGTCTTCCTCTGGTTCCCCTGCAGCTTCCTGTTCTCAGGTCAGGCAGGTGATATAGTGGCCTCACTGGCATTAAGGTCTCGGTGCCCCAGGAGCTGGAGACTCCCCCACCCCCAGCCCGGGGTGATTGCATTTTAATGACACTCTCCTGGGTAGTGCTGAAAGCATTGGTGACAGGCGGGAGGGACACTGCCCTACCAGGAAGGGCCAGGGCTTGGGCCTGGGCCCTGCAATTTACACAAGATTGTCCAGTCCTTGAGCTCAGGCCAGGGCTGGGCTGGGCGAAGCCTCCTTTCTCCCATGCTCACTACCCAAGCACTAGCTGCGCAGCATAGAGACACGGTTTGCTCAGAGGAAAGCGCGTCCCTCAGAGGGGCTGTTAAAGAGCTGTTTACTGCATTGAAGATAATAAAAAACTGGTCAGAGCTTGTGCAGGTTCCTTACATAAATATGACTTTATGATACCAGGCAGGGCTGCCATGGGGCTTTGTTATCATCTGATTAAGCTGTTAGAGGCGTGGAGGCTCTTTACCTGCAGGGCCATCGCCAGGGCTGTGATTGAATTGCAGATCCCTGGCAGCTGGAGCAGGCAAGAGGCCCCTGGCTGAGGCCAAAGCCCCATAACTGCGGGTGGAACCTGGGGGGCAACAGAAGGGTTTCCCACGGGACCCTTTCTCTCTCAGCAGGGTTAGGTGCCCTTCACAGCTAGTAGTTCCATTCGTGGGCTTGTATGTCTGTTTTCGTTTTGGTCCTAGGATTGAACACTGAGCTCCATCCTTAGCCCCTTTTAAAATTTGTTTTTATTTTTAAATTCAGAGACAGGGTTTTGCTAAGTTGCTAAATTACCTAGGCTAGGCTCAAATTTATAATCCTCCTGCCTCAGCTTCCCGCCGTGCTAGGATTTACAGGTGCACGTCAGCACACCCAGTAGACTGATAACCAAAGAAAACATTGAGGAAGTGTGCTGAGGCTCCTGAGAGACAGCTGGACTGGGCAGCTGTGCTCTAGATTTTACGGATGAGTAAGGACAAATCACTGGGAGGATCGTAAGGGTGGGGAGCTTCCGTCAGACACAGTCCTGGGTACCCCACAGGTGAGAGGAAGGGGAAATGGAAAGGTCAGCCAGTTGTCAGCTCTCCAGAACCCTTGGGAGTCCACCTAGAGGGCAGGGTGGGCCTTGCAAGAAGGCTGGTGCAAGCCCGAGCCGGCCAGACTCTGGTATCCCCATCCTCTGCCTCCATCATGCTCTTTTCTGGTCCTCACAATCTCATCTCTCCCCTTCCAGTCTGGTCTAGCCTGACGATGCCCCCGCTGGCCACCGTGGTGTGCAGTGCCCGTGCCCGGCTCTTTGCTGGCCTCCTCCGGCTGGGCACTCAGCACACCGGTCCCCTCCAGCTGCACACGGGAGCCAGCTGTGCAGCCAAGAGCCACTATGAGGTGCTGGTGCTGGGGGGCGGCAGCGGCGGGGTCACCATGGCTGCCCGCATGAAGAGGAAAGTGGGCGCAGAGAACGTGGCCGTTGTTGAGCCCAGCGAGGTGAGTGACCCCTTTGGAGGTACTTTTGTGCACACGTGCATGTGTGAGCATGTGTGTGTGTGTGTGTTGGGGTGGTCAGTCAGGCCCTGGCCTCCGTGTCTCCAGGTGCTGCCAGCCTGCCTAGGGTTCTTTCCTCCAGTCACATGGAAATCTCGAGCTGGCAAAGTACAGCTCGGTCAGCATGAAGCGCTCTGTCTGCAACCCTTGGTCGCTGGTTGGTGCCGGATGCTACCAAGGGATACAGCCAGCTACTGGTCACTGCTGCTGCCAGACACCATGGGCTCATGCTGGACACCACAGGAGGACTCTGCTGGCCTTTGATGGCTGCTGGCCTTGGAGCTCATCAGTGCTGACAGCTCTGAATGTCTGTTGCCCTCTTTTGAAACAGCCTCTGTGTCTGCACCACTCAGGATGGGACTCCTGGGCAGACTGACAGGGTCTTGGGGCCCATGTGACCTGAGCAGTAACTCGAGAGCAGGTTGAGAGGAGTTCAGAGGCGAACATTCATTTTTAACGAGAGGAGGGGAGCAGGGGAGGGGCACAAGAGCCACTGCCCCCTGCCCCCCAGCTGGCAAGTGGGGGATGGGGAGTCAGGTGAATCTCGTGGGTCTCAGCAGGGCTTCTCCTCCTGGACACGAAAGCGGCCCATCCCAAAGGCCAGTGGAAGGGAGCGGGCAGCTCTCAGCTTTTGTCTTCTCTCCTGTTTCAGTTTTTAGTGTTTCTATAATAGAGGACCACAAGCCAGGCATAACAGCAGACTCGCATTTGCTCAAGGTTCTGGAGAACAGAAGTCCCAAACCTAGCCACCCAACTAGGGCCAGGCTAGGCTCACTCTAACAGCTAGATGGGTAGCGGGTGGGGACATCCATGTTTCTCTGCAGCTCCTGGGGCTGTGTCACTGCATCGACTGCCCATGTCTTCATGGGGTGTTCTCTGTGTTTCTCTCTGGCTCCTGAGGTGTTCACTAGCTCCTCAGTTTAGGGTGCACCCTATTCAAGTATAATAAGGTTACCTTTACCAGCCTGGGGTTAGAATTCAGTACACCTTTGGGGAGATAATGCCCCACCCCATCCTTGTGTGTGTGTGCCCATCTCTGCTTCGGTCTGAAGGGAGCAGGGTGACAGGTTGAGACAGGGGGGCCCTGGAAAATGGAGCAGTGAGAGAAGGTCGTGGGCGATGGTGAGTGAGATGAGGACGCTAACAGAGGGGAGAAGGGCGAGGGAGATGCTGCTCTGTGGAAAACCTTTTGTTGTAGTCAGGGCTGCAAGGAGAACAATTACATACAGGACCCAGAATTTATGTTATTTTATGATGGTCACTCAGGGTTAAGTACAAGAAAGTTCAGGAAATCTGTCCACAACACTAAAGACCTAGAAAATCCAGCTGAGGGTCTGGACCCCACAACAATGACCTGTATGAGTTCCACTGAAGATCTAGAGCCCATGACAGTGACCTATGCAAGTCTGTCCCATGGATCTGCACTGGGATGGCCCAAGGTCAGCAGTGGAAGCTAGAAAGTCTTTGCCAATGGGGTGAAGGATCTGTGCCAGCAGGCAGAGGGTTCTGGAGCCAAGAATCAATGCTCAACATAAGGACCAGCGCTCCCCTGAAAAGAACCACAGCTATCCTCAGTGACAATGAGGTCCCAAGCTCCTCCGACGATGAGAACAGCTGAGTTCACATCAGGAAGCCAGAGTGACAAGCTTCTCCTGGAGATTGAACAGCACCATCTTCCCCTCCAGAGCCAGGAAGTAATTTCTTTTTTCTTTTTTTTTTTTTTTGACAATGTTGAATGTTTTATTTTTATTTATTTATTTTTTTAATTTTATTTAAGGAGAAAAGAAAAAAAAAAGCAGGGAAAGGATACAAGTTATACAGATTTACAGAAAAAAATGAACAGTAGGAAATCACTAGTTAATGGATTACATATTGTCATCTTAGAAATAATTGTTCAAGTCACAAAATTAAAGCTTGTAAAGTGGACATTCCATCAATGATATTGCAAACAGTTCTGTTCATTGATCCAATAAAACTCTGTGATATCATTTTCTATCTTATACATTTAAATATACATGCAGTTATATAGTTTGGAGCACTTTCTTTTCCTCTCTTTTGTACCATGACTATTACACATTTTGGATTTCATTGAAGGAAGTAATTTCAACATAAGCAGCAGAGCTCCCCCAAACTGAACTGCAGTCATTCTCAGGGACAACAAGGTCCCAAGATCCTCCACTGACAATGGCTGAATTCATATCAGGGAAGCCAGCGTGACAAGCTCCTCCAGGAGAACCAACGACTCCAAACATTAACAGTTAGGAGAACCCACAATTCCCTGCTCTTCCTTTCATCTCTTTTTAGGCTGGCAACTTTCTTCAGTGGGGCTGTCTACACTCAGCACATGCTGATTTAATTCAGTTGGTGCTAAGCTGACCACCAGTTTTTAATCCATAACACCTTTTATGGTGGCATAAAAGCTTCAAAACAATATGAAAGAGCTTTGGTGGTTTTCCTGATGCTTCCCAAGGATGAGCTGAGAGCCAGCTGGGATCTGTAGCCCTGGGAGGGAAAAGCCAAGTGGGTCCCCTGGTTGTCCTGTGATGGGGGTGGAGGAGCAGGACTCAGACTTAAATCTGAGCAAAGAGGACACCTGCTCCTGCCACTTTTCTTTTGAGACTGAGTTTTGCTAAGTCGCCAAGGCTGGCCTTGAACCTGTGGTCTTCCTGCTTCAGCCTCCCAAGTAGCTGGGATCACAGGCATTTGCTACCATCCCTGGCTTGTCCCTTCTCTTTTTAAAGTGACTGACAGCAATTTCAGTGCTGGTGGCCTGAGAGCTGCATGATGTGACCATTCTCTCAGATGCACCCTCTGTCATGGTGAACCCACGCCTGTCTCCCAGGGTTTCTCTTTATAACAGGGGTGGCCATTCTGGAACTGGACCCAGCTCAGACCTCACCACCTCTGTCCTTGGGGGAAAATACAGCAGGGATCTCTTGAAGAAGTGGCCGGCAGTTTAGGCTTTGAGCACCTTCCCTGCCCTTTAGTGACTGCTGGAGCTGACGTTTACAACTGAACAATAGACATGAAAAACAAAAAATGAACACAAACACAAGAAAGACCAAGCTTGTGATTTTATTCTTCTTCCTGTTCAAATTGGACCTGAAATCGATGGGATCTCACCCCTGTTCCCCATGGATCCCATCCATCGTGGGCAGCAGGGTGATGGCCAGCCCTGTGGAGTTTGGCCATCCCATCCTCCAGTTCAAAGTACTTTGGTAATGTTGAGTGCTCTCGGTGCCCTGGTCCCTTGCAAGAGTGAATCCTCAGGAGCTGTTAAACCACTTTGGCCCCACGCAAGAGCTTTCCCAGCTAATTGGGAGCAAGAGTGGGCCAGGAAAGCAAGAGAAAGGAGTGACAAAGTAGTGACAGTCTGGGGTGCACTGGAAGTCTGGGCTCTGGAAGGGGTTGGCACTTCTTGGCTGTGGGTACAGAGCCTCTGGCGAAGAAGGGGGCTAATCCAAAGTGTTAGAAGGCCATCCTGGCTTTGGGGACACAGTCTGAAGTTAGGGAAAGTTCAAGGCTCCCCAGAAGTAGCCGTAAGCTTAACCACACTCCTCACGTGTTCACATACTTCTGAACAACCGTAGTTAGGGTTCAGGGCTTATGTGTTCTTGTTTGTCTCTGTGCACATAAATGGGTCCGTAGTGTGCACACATATCTGTGTATCTATATGCACACACACAGAGCTATTATTATGTGTGTGTGTGTGCATATAGATACACAGACCCATTTATGTATCTGTACATATAGAAATAGAAATATAGATATACCTATCTGTATTTCACACTAAATCAGCCTTTAGCAATAAATAATACAGTGGTCACTAAAGATAAGTTTATGCCTTTTAAAAAGGGTCTTGGGAGAATCTTGGGAGAGTTCTTGGGTGGGTGATTGTCCTTCAGAGTATAAGAGACCCCTTAAAGAGGGAACTAACCTGGAAACTTTATGAGACGCTCGGTGGGAGCAGAGAGAGCGTTTGAGAGTGTGTTTAGTTCCAGGGTGTCTGAGCGGGTGCCTGTCGATCAGATGCCTGCTGAAATCATCTCCAAACACCTCGTTCCACAGAGACACTTCTACCAGCCCATCTGGACGCTGGTTGGTGCGGGTGCCAAGCAGCTGTCGTCATCTGGTCGACCCACAGCCAGTGTGATACCATCTGGGGTGGAATGGATCAAAGACTGCGTCGTGCAGCTCGACCCGGACAAGAACCTTATCCACACTGACAGTGGCAAGCAGGTAGTGTCTTTGGTCTTTAAAGTTTTAAAAAAATTTCCTGTATTTTGGTTTTTTGATGGGGTCTTGCTATGTAGCCCAGGCTGGCCTTGAATTCACTGTGTAGCTCAGGCTGGCCTTGAATTCATGGCATCCCTCCTGCCTCAGCCTCTCAGAGGCCAGAATCATAAAGCATGTGTCACCACACCCGGCTGCGTTTCCTGCTAATGGGAGGGCTTGATTAACACACAAACTGGTAAAAGGGTGGTGGGTATGCCCGTGTGTGAAGACTGCTGTGGGAGACGGCTGGGCTTGTGGTCAGTTGGGGAGTGGAAGGATGTTGGTTTAACCAACAGCTGTGACAAGTACTGGCTGCGTCTCTAGCTGTGTACCATTCTGGCTTCTGTGGCCCCTTGTACCTGGTTGCTTACTGAACAAATGTGATTGCTACCTGGAAGAACAGTGGGCATCTCCCTGCTGCTTGGTCTTTGATGGCAGTTAACCTTCCTCCCTGAGGCAAGGGGTTTGGGAACACTAAGGGCCACTCTGTGGGGAGCTGTGGGGACATCAGGTGACTGATGCCAGGGGTGACTTGTGCCAGGGGTAAGGAGAACCATCGCGGCCAGAGCTTGGGACTCATGTTTGCTTTGCACTGTTTAGAAGTCTCCCTAGAGAGACCGGAAGTGGTCCCTACCGAGGGGTCAAATCTTTCCGGTCACGGCTGCCCCCATTTCTGGCTAACAGGCAGAGAGCAGGAAGGAGACACCGCAGGCTCAGCACCCACCTTCTGCTTCCTGTCCCTGATTGCTGCTGGGCCTCGAGAGCCAGGTGATGGGAAAGGGGAGGCGAATGCACAAGAAGGCTGGGTGCACAGCTGGTTCTTGTCTCTCAGTGCTCTGGGTGCTGCCTGAGCTGCGTGTGCCCTGTGTAGCGCTGGTCACCGCCCTGCTGATTCATGCCTTGCCCAGGCCAGTTCCCAGCTCAGCGGTCCCCACCCCTGCTGTCAGGTCAGGCTGCCTCTTCTGGAAAGGCGGCAGTCACTATTTATTACAATGATGAGTAATAGATACACATATAACTGAATCTATGCGCATATATATCTTATTTTAATCTTTTTATTTGTTTGGTTTTTGAGACAGGTTCTCGCTATGTAGTCCAGCCTGGCCTTGAACTCATTATGTAGCCCAGGTTCATGGCCATCCTCCTGATAGAGGGGAATGGAACTCCAACGTAGTATGTGTGGTATGAGTTCGTGATCTCTAAAATCCAAGAATGAATTTTAGGAACAATGGAGGCTAAGACTAGAATATATTTATTGAGAAAAAGAAAGCTTCTGTCTGAGAGAGACAGAAAAGCGGTCCCGAGCGGGTTGCCAAGGATTCTGTCTTTTCCAGGGACTTTTATGGAGTAAAATCATGGAGTGAGAGGTGTTCAAGGTGGGGAAAACTGGGAACTCACAAGGCAGACAGGCATAAGGTGGGACATAACTATAGTTAGCCAATAAGATTAGTAGTTCAGGTAAAATTGATTAAATTGAGGACAAATGGGGAAGCAAGTCACACAGAAAGCAGGCATTCTTAGAGAGCAGTGACTCTTCTCTAGGGAATTGGGTTGGTGACTCCTGGCTTCCTCATGGTGACAGGGAACTATTTAGAATATCAGTCCTTAGGATGTGGCTGCATTTGTTCGATCTTTTGTCTTGACGCCTGGCCCACAGCAGGAAATATCTGTTTCCCCAACAGTTGCAAGGTAGCTGGGCTTCTGCACTGGCTCCTTTGAGACCCAGCCCTGTCTCACTACCTATAATATTTCTAAGTAACTCACCTGCCTGCAATACTGAGCGCCAGGATTGCAGGTATGCACCAGCATGCAAAGCTTATAATTCTATTTTAATTAAAAACTCTAAGTGTTTTTATATTACTTTTCCCCTCTCGATGGATCAGAACTGTCTCATTGTTCTCAGAGACTCCAGGAGACCAGGTTGATTACACAAAGGATTGCTTTCCTTTCAAAAGACTCAGCTCCATGGGTGTTCACAGGGTCTGGTGGGGGTGGGGCCCTTGGTCCAGCAAGGTCCTTCCAGCAGGAAGATCGCGGTGCCCCTTGTGGTCTCAGGACGAAAGGCCTTCTCTATCTCTGTCTCTCTCTCTCAGTCTCTCTGTCTCTGTCTCTCTCTCTCTCTCCCTGTCTCTCTCTCCCCCACCCCCTCCTTCCCTCTCCCTGGGGATTGAATCCAGGGCCTTTGCACTGAACTGCATCTCTATCCTTTTTAAAATTCTTCATACAAGCTCTTGCTAGGGTGCTAAGTTGCCCCTGCTGGGCTTGCCCTTGTGATCCTCCTGCCTCAGCCTCTGAGAGTGCTGGGATTGCAGGTGTGCACCTCCCCGCTCACCACCTTGTCTCACCTCTTGAGAGTGAGTGAAGGGCACTCAGCCTTCTCTCTGCTTGGCCCCTGGTTACTGCAGAAGCTCAGACACCCAGGGAAGCTGGAGAACCCTGTTTTAAGGTGAGGAAGACATTGGTGCCATCTGGCCTGGCTTTCTCCCAGGACCCCAATCAAGGAGAAATATTTTCTGAAGAGCATCAAAAACCAGCACAACCCTTTCCTATGAGATAGACTAATTTTAGTTCATTTTCCCAGCTGTCTGCGTGTCTAGGATTTATAATTCTGTTACCCACTGAGAGGCTTTCCTAGCTGCTCCCCACAGATGGCTTCGCTGAAGTTCAAGGCTTTAATTCCCTGACACGTCCCTGTCCCTAGAGAGCTTCTTTAAAAGATCATGTAAATGAATCAACATTCTTCAGCAGATATCATACAACTTACCTCACTGTTCCCTGCTTAACTTTTACCCGTGTTTGTCTGGATCAACAGGCGAGAAACTCAGTGGAAACGACAGAAACTTAATCTCAAGGTGTCTCCAGCTTTTCCCCTGCCCTGGGGTCTAGGTGTAGAAGACCCTTGTTCTCTTTCCTGGCTGAATCTGGTTCTGTTTGCACAGGGCCTTTGGTTTCCTCAAACATCCCTGCCTCCTTCTCACCCCGAGGCATCAGCACACAGGTCTCCCCTCCACTGCTCATCTTTGGACAAGCCTGCCTTCGACTGGCTCCATCACGGGGCTTGTGCCCTGCTCTCACAGCGGTCTGTGGTTTAATAAAGATTCCTGTGATTATCTGGGAACCTTATCTCTCCCCCTAGCCTGGGTACTTGGAGCACAGGAACTGTGTCTTTCTGGTTTATCACTGTGCTCAGACTTTGCACAGTGTAGGCCCATGGAAGGTGCTGAAGAAAAAAACACTGGACAGCAGACTGCATTTAGCTTTTCTCCTTTGTAAAACGGGAATAGTAATACTACTGACCTGGCTGGGTTATAGGGAGTGTTATGGGGTATAATAAAAAAGCGATTGCTTAAATTAAAAAACCTTGTTACAGTAAAGGGCACGTTAATCTCCCTCAAATCCTCCCCTCATTTCACTCACACGATCTCACTGTTCTTGCCTCTTCCTGCAGCAGTTCTAGACTCCTCATTTGGGAGTGTCTTTAGTGGCACTGTTGTGTCTGGATCCCACTGTTGTGTCTGGATCGATGTCCTGAATCCATTGAGAATGTTTTCCCTTTCTGGTTTACTTTGACTTTGGGGAAGAGGTGGAAGTTGCATGGGGCCAGATTGGTGAACAAGGGGAGTTGAGGACACAGTGTGTTCTCATGAGCTGCTACTCTGTTGCACTTACCATAGTTTTGATTGCATTTTGTAAAGACCCTCAGGAAAGAGGACTTCAGAGCTGCTTCAGAGAGTGGCAGTCCAGATGGGATAAAGTGTTCCAAGAATGGGGCAGAGGTGTTAATGGCAATGTGTCTTTTCTTGTAATACATTTTAAAGTTTAAACATCCACTGTAGACTTTGATCGCACATTGTAAATAAGTGGAAAGTGAAGCACTTAGAACAGTGATTGGCAGGGAGAGGCAAATGTGTGTGAAATGTTACTATTTTATTTTATTTTTTTTATTTAAAGAGAAAAAAACAGAAAAAAGGGTAAAAATAATACAGAATTTCAGAAAAATAAACAATAAGAAATTACTAGTTGATAAGCTACATATTGTCATCTTAGAAATAGTTGTTCAGGTTACAAATTAAAGCATACAAAGTGACATTCAAATAGTGACACTGCCAACAGTTCTGCTCAAGAATCCAACAAAAACTTAGTAATATGGTTATCAGTCCTACACACTTGTTTTTTATCTTAAAGAGTGTAAGATTAAACATAAAACAGAACAAAGGAGTTCATAAGGAAACAATTTAAAGAAACACAAGATTTCAAAGCAAGTCCATTAGAGATCTTCACTGTCTTATCTTATTGTCTCTAGTTTTCTTCCAAATAGTTGTCCCCATCTTCACACACATTGAATATATACTGAACATTATAAAACTAATCAGATCATTACAGGATGATGAAGGCTTTTAAGGTCTTTATGATCTGACGATGGGGAAGTCAGTAATGTCTACCATAATGTTTCTCAGTCTCTTTGTAGTAGCTGTCCTCATCTTTACATCCACTGAAATTGAACATAAGAGACTAGACTAATATCACTCTGAAGAGTGAATAATAGTATTGCTAGATTGTATATCATAATGCTACAGAATTAGCATTGGGTTTCTTAGTGTCTCTTCTTCAGAGTATCTATTCATTACATTGTGCGTTATATAATCTTTTCCCATAAATAGTTTAGAAATTCTTCTCATGTGTGAATCTCTACATGTATATCTATCCTTTCTGAATTTTAGGGAAAAACAGATCAAAACAAGACAACAAAACAAATTCCTAGAAAAACATGACATGAAAAAGACATATAGGAGGACTACAATAGTAGGTAATAAAATGTTACTTAGAAAGAACACTGGGAAAGACTGGGAGAGGAAACACTGAGTGCGCAGCTCGGGCCAGATGGGTTCCTGACTGCTGAGAGCAGGCTCATCACCCCTGAATACCCTGGTGCCCTTCTTTCTCTAAATTACTGGGAGATGTTTACTGAGCAAGTGAGCCTAGAGCTTTGCAAGGAATTAGCGCCTATTTGTGAAGTCTTTAGTGTTAGGACTTTACTCACCCTCACCCTGCATAAAATGAGGATCCTTACCCATATTTAGCCTTCTGCCAAGGTCTGTGTTCTGCTCTGTGATTGCTTAGGAGTCTTGTGTACAAGTTCTTATAATTCCATGACATGTAGGTCATCTGGCTAGGGAACGTGAACTTGCTTGGAATGCTTGAGTCTTTTCTTTTTGTTCTCTTGTAATTGAGCCTGTATTTTACCTTCCTGATTTTCCTCCCTAAGAGTGAGCTCATCTGTACCTGGTCCTTAGAAATCATCACCATTACATTCTGGTATCCCACTGACGTATGCACAAATCAACAGCTCTTTCCAATAAAGTGTTCTGTTTCACCTGCAGCCCCCAGCTTCGTGTCACCTCCATGGCTGAGAGCTCCACAGCATTCACACAGCCATCAGTGAATGGCTACACCTACAGGTCTGAGAATGTCAGGGTGCTGGCTCCCAAGGACAAAGGAAAGATACAGAGGAAGATGCTGATACTGTCTGCTCACTTTGATAAACTGTATTTTTGCAAGGAATGAAGTCATAAATCATCCATTCATACATCTAACCACCCATCCATCATCCATCCATCCATCTCTTCCATCCATCCATCCATTTCATCCATCCATCCACCTACCCACCCACCCATCCACCCATCCATCCACCCACCCACTCACTCATCCATTCATCCACCCACCCATCCACCTATGCATCCATTCATTCAACTGTATCATCCATCCATTTCATCCATGCATCCATCCATCTCATCCATCCATTCATTCATCCACTGACCCATTCATCCATCTATCCACTGATCAATTCATCCATCCATCCATCCATCCACTCACTCAGCCATCCACTCATCCATCCATCCATCCATCCATCCATCCATCCATCCATCCATCCATTCGTCCCATCCACCCACCCACCCACCCATCCAGCCACCCACCAATTCATCTTTCTACCCATCCATCATCGATCAATTGATCCATCCATCCATTCACTCATCCACCCATCCATCCATCTGACCCACCTATCCATCCATCTGTCTCATCCATCCACCCTCCCATCCATCAATCCACCCGCCCACCCACCCACCCACTCACTCATCCATTCATCCATCCATCCAGCACAACCTGATGCCTCACTGTAGTACTGTGACTGTGCTAGAGTCTAGGGAATAGGAGGGAGGTGTGACCTTTATGCCCTGGGAGTGTCCTAGACAGGGAGGAGAATGACTTCTGTGTAACATGATAGAGGCTACGAAGCATCACACGCTTGTGCTGAGAGCTCTGTAGGAAGGGCCAGTGGTGAGTGAGAGATCTGACAAAAGCCTTGGCCGCCTTGGGGCTGAGTCTCCTGGACTCCAGGGCAGGACTTCTTCACCAACCTGCTCCCCTTGGACCTCATGCTCTTGGGTCTTAGAACCCCCTTCTGAGAGGGAACTCGCTGGGCACTGCTTCCCCATTCAGTGCGAGGTCACGGTGACCATCCCACTGGGGGCTCCTCACTCTCACTGCCTTCCTCTCCCCGGCAGTTTTTAGGGCTGCTGTCATGCTTTGCACCGTTCTTACTGTCTGTGCTTGCCCCATCCTGATCCTGCACCTCCGTGATTGTATTTACAGGCACTGTAGTCTTCAACATGAGTAATCACGACACTCATACTTGACAGGGACGGCTTCCTCCCAGGGCGGCCGCTAAGTGGGAGCAGGTGCGATGTATCACATTGTGTCAAGGACTCTCCAGGCTCTAGTTCCCAGTTCCTGTGACAGGTCCAGCCCATGTATTACTCCTGGACTTAAAAACACTGATCATCTTTTCACATGAGGAATTCATCATTTTTCCCACTTCTTGGTGTGAAAAAGTTTTAACATAAGCAAGGCACAGAGAGTTACGGCCTCTTTGTTATTCTCCATGGTGTAAAACTCTAGATGTCCAGTGACCAGGCAGGTCACACATGGTCTGTGAAGCAGCGAGGTGTGGGGCCACAGAGGACTGTGGGGTGCCTCTCCGCCAGACAGCGTGCTCCTCTTCCCTCCCCCCAAGACTCATACATCTGGGGCAGAGTCAGTCCTTGCTGCATTTTTTTTTTTTTTTTGGAGACAGGGTCTCACTATGCAGTTCAGGCTGGCCTTGAGCTCACAGTGATCCTCCTGCCTCAGCCTCCTGAGTGCTGGGATTATAGGTGTGCCACCCAGCCCTTGCTGCTTTTTGAGACCTGGTCTAAAATATCATTTATTGTGTGTTGCAGATCTCCTACAAATACCTTATAATTGCTCTCGGAATCCAGCTGGACTATGAGAAGGTACTGTTTTAAGTTGTTCCTATGTTAAACTGGCCTGTTTAACACTGTTTGGTTTTATATTAATTTTGACAAGAAAGAGGCCCTGAAGAAATCTACTTTTATTTCTCAGTGGTCCTTTTATGCTGTAAAAAAGTCTTCTCAAAGATTCTGTCGGTGATAACAATGTGTTTCAGTTTTAAGCTTTAACTCATGATAATAGCCACTGTTCTCACAATTACCAAAAAACCTGACTTTTTATGTGGGACCGAGTTGGCTATATTAAAGATTAAATTTTCTTTTGCCAGTAAGATTTAGAGGTTTTTTTTTTTTTTTTTTTTTTTTTTTTTGAGACAAAGCCCTACTATGTAGTTTGGGCTGGTCTTCAACTAACTGTGTACCCCAGGCTGGCCTTGAACTTGTGGCCTCAGTCACTCAATACTCCTGCCTCAGTCTCCCAAGTGCTGGGATTACAGGTGTGCACCACCATGCCTGGCCTAGTTAAGAATTCTTAAGCAACTTTAAGGGTGGGATACCAGCAGCTCCTTATTAGACACTGAAAGGACATCTGGGTTTTGTGTACAGAGGCTGCCACTGTGGCATGGAGTGACCACAGCACTATAAATGCTACCTTGCAAGTCCTTAGGTCCCTTTTTGGTGAGCCAGATGCTACTGACTGTTGTGAGATTCACGTTTAGTTTTCCAAGGCACAGTAGAGTAAGTCAGTCATTGTTATGATTTCTGGGGGCTTGTTGGAGACACAAAGCTTGGTGTTAACCAGGTCACAGGCTGAAGGGCTGGGGTCCCAGCATGGGCCTCTTAGGAGGCAGCCCAGGAAGTCGTTTTGTGCCTTGGGACTTATCCAGGGTGTGGGTGGTGGAGATGCCTTGGGATGTGCTGTGTGAGTACAGAGAAGCCAACAATCAGTGAGTCACACACAGGGAGATTTTCAGGCTTGTTGTGTTCCTAGCCACTTCCCAGGGGACCAGCCTGCTCCTTGAGCCCCACTGGCTTAGAAATATCATGCAATTTATTCAGGGTCACAAAACTATTAAGTAGAAAAACTGGGACTCAAACCAGCTCTGTAGGATTTGGAATCCCATTCTTTTTAATGACCTCACTGTAATGCCTTTTCCAAGAGTCTGATTAGGTACAGCCTAATAGAGGGTCATGTAAGTTTGGTATATGGCTGATATAAATGAATGGCCCTTAGGCCTCCCTATTTTTCTGTCTTAGTCACTCTCCTGTCAAGGGGACAAAATACTAACATACTTTAAAGGAGAAGAGGCTTATCGTGGCTCAAGGTTTCAGGGGGTTCAGTCCATGGGCAACTAGCTCCAAGGCAGAATAGCATGGCAGAGGGGTGTGAAAGGAAAGAGGTCTTGAGCTCACAGTGATCCTCCTGCCTCAGCCTCCTGAGTGCTGGGACTATAGGTGTGCCACCCAGCCCTTGCTGCTTTTTGAGACCTGGTCTAAAATATCATTTATTGTGTGTTGCAGATCTCCTACAAATACCTTATTATTGCTCTATCTATTCCTCACTAACCCATGTAGTGAGGAAACAGAGCAAGAGGAGCTAGGGACAAGAATCATCCTTCCAGGTCCCAGCCCAGTGACCCCCCCTCCATCCAGGCCCCCATCCTAACAGCATGTTCAGCTATTGTTTAGTCAGGTCTGCTTATGAGTACAGCATTGCCATGATGCAACCACCTTCTGAAACCTCACCTCTAATCATGGGAGACTTTGGGGGCATTTATCCAACTTCTTTTCCCAGGAAGGGAACTGGTTCTCCTAAAAGGAGGCATGGCTGGCACCTTGCCCTCACTCTGACAGTGGGAAGGGCTGTACTCAGTTCAGAGACTCAAGGCCAGGGAGGTGGAGGCTTCCACGGGCTGGGCCCCTTCTGTTGTCTGAGAGGAGACCTCAATGCCACAGGTCAGGTCTGAGTACCGTGCTCACCTGTGTGTCCCACGTGTGTCCTCCTGGGGGTCACAGTGGTGCGGGGACACTTGAAAGGCTTTGGAAATGGCAAATGGGACCCTAAAGGCATTTCCCCTTCGGTTTACAACAGATTTTCTGTGTGCTCGGTTGCAGATCAAGGGCCTGCCTGAGGGTTTTGCGCATCCCAAAATAGGGTCCAATTATTCGGTGAAGACGGTGGAGAAGACATGGAAGGCGCTGCAGGACTTTAGGGAGGGCAACGCCATCTTCACCTTCCCGAACACGCCTGTGAAGTGCGCCGGAGCCCCGCAGAAGATCATGTACTTAGCGGAGGCCTACTTCAGGAAGGTGGGGGGCCTCTTCCTGCGGAGCTGGGGGGTGGAGCCAGGGGTGGAACCTGGGTGGAGCCAGGGTGGGCGGAGCCAGGGTGGGGCAAGGAGGGGCGGAGTTGGGGTGGAGCCAGGGCAGGGTGGGGGCAGGGCCGAGGCGGGGCTGGGCAAGCTGCATCTGTCCCTGGGTCCTTCCTCATCTCCGGCCTAGGGCCTTCTTTATTTCTAAATTCTTCTCACACACATGCACAGTTATATATCTTGAAGTTTGGTAAACAGACAAAAGGAGGCTGTAACTCGTAATTCAGCTGCTTTAATAATGTTGCTGTCCTAGGTGCGGCGTGTCTTGCCAGTTTTTTCTATGGATTTAAAGAAATGCAGTTCTAAGCAGTGTACACATGAATTTAGATGTGTCGCACGTGATCCAGGGGTTTTTGTAACATACTTTTTAATGTGTGTCTAAAAGTCCCCTGGGGAAGCCTATTTGAGATGGGCGATCTTCTTGCTTCAGCCTCCCCAGTGCTGGGATTACAGGCCTGTGCCACCATCTCTGGCTATTGTTTCCATATTTGAAGTTAGATAATTTATGGCAAATTGGTAATTTTTATATGCGTGCATACACTGGCTTCAACTGTTTCTGATCAAGTTCAAAGTTATGAATATTTTCTGGTTCATGAAAAACAGTCTTGCAAATATAATAGGCAAAATGCCAATTTTTTTTAAAAAGAGAAAAAAAGGAGCATTACGTGCTGGAACACACCTGTAATCCTAACACTCAGGAGGCTGAGGCAGGAGGATAGCTGTGAGCTTGAGGCCAACCTGGGCTACATAGTGAGTTCATGGCCAGCCTGGGCTATCTAGCAAGATCCTGTGTCAAGCAGCAAAACAAAACACAACAAAACAAAATGAGATTTAAATGGAACTGCAAGCCTGTATGGAAAGAGACTTGTAGGGAGGCTTGCGCTGCCCCTGGACTTGACCTTCCTCTCCAGTCTTCAGCTGGACAGTGCCCATCTCTGTCCCAGTGCAAGGTGCCCGTCAAGTAACTGTCACATCATGAGTGGAAAACGAGGTGGCCTGAGGTTCACGCTCACATCGCCCCTGCAGGGTGCACACTCAGGGAAGCTCTGGTCCGCAGGTTTTACTCCTTGTCTGGGTTAATACTCTGGAGTTGGTTCCTCCTCTTCTTTTGCTCAGACTGGAAAGCGCTCCAAGGCCAACATCATCTTCAACACCTCTCTCGGAGCGATCTTTGGGGTGAAGAAGTATGCGGACGCCCTGCAGGAGATCATCCGGGAGAGGGACCTCACCGTGAACTACAGGCGAAACCTGGTCGAGGTCCGTGCTGACAGGCAGGAGGCCGTTTTCGAGAACCTGGACAAACCTGGAGAGACCCAAGTGTTTCCTGTGAGTGGGGGCCTGTGGTGACAGGGCTCCTGTCCCTGTCCACATCACAAAGTGGTGCGGGCGAGGGTGGCACCTGAAGGCAGGGACAGGACGAGGAGATGGAGCAAGGTGGACATAATTTTTAAAACCTCTTGCTTGGAAATAAACTTAGAGCTGTAAAAGTAGAATACAGAAGAAAATTGTCCTAGATTCACCTGTAGAGTTTTATGACGTTTAGCTTTGGCTTTATCGTTTGATTTCTCCATCTCTACACTCTTTAATTAATGTATCAAACCTTGTGTCCCTTTACCCCTAGATACTTTAGTGTAAGTTTCCTAAGGTATGGATGTTTTCTTTCATAACCACAGTACTTATTGCCTCAGTAGGGCTAGGACAGATACTTCTAGTCGGTTTGAATCCAGTACCGTTGATGGATGCAGTAGTATTTAGAGTACTTTTCCCTCTCTGATACGGACCCTAATTTATAGTGAAGAATTGTGCTTAACTGTGATGCCTCTTCAGCCTCTGTTAGTCTGGGACGGTTCCACCGCCTTCTCTTTTTGGAGACATTGATATTTTGGAATAGTACACCCTTTCTGCCATCACTTAATAAAATAGAGAGTCTTCCTCATTTCCAGGTTGTGCATGCTCTGTGGTGAGGATTTTAAAGAGGCTGGGCTTCCTGGAGCAGAGCACTGTGTGAATAATGCTGATCCTTTAGGGAATCACATTTACCACTGGACTCTTGGCGTTATGTCAGCGGGAGCCTTTCCTTCTCTCTGAATCACTTACTGCTGTGAACTCCTGCATTTTCATGGGCCTCTGGTGATTTACCATCCACTCGTGCCCTCCATTTTCTTGGTGCCTAAGTTGTCCGGGCTTGGTCAGGAGCAGCACCTTCCCACTGGCTCCTGCGTCCCTGGGATGTGACCGCCCTGTTTTCCAGCACTTCCTTACTTTCTGCTGTCGCAGGACATCCCCAGTCTAACACGTATCTTTATGGATAAGCAAGTGGAAGATGTGAAATATGCTTGATGGTACATGAACCAGTTCCTTCAAGCTAGAGGGTCTATAAATGTGCTCCAGGGAATCATGCATCTGAATCACTAGAAGATTTTGTAAAAGTGCAGATTTCTGTGCTTTCCCCTACGAAATTGAGATCGCAGGCCTAGGAACCTGCATTCCCACCAGTTTACCAAGTTGTTTGTAAACTTTAATATATGAATACCTGTACTCTGAATGGATTATTTGTGTCAATGAATTAAAAACCAAGCTATCATGTAAAGTTTGTGGGAATAAACAATGAGCAAGCATGAGTTATGAAATGTGAAAGAATACCACCTAAACAAACCAATGAACTATGCCACCAGAAGTCTTTAGGACCATGCCACACATGATCATCTAGGAGTAGGGTTGATGCAGGTGTTTGGGAAAGTAAAATTTATCCCTGCCCTTGCCCCTGCTAAGTAATCCTAGTACTTAATCATATTCCTCTCCTTCTCCAAAGGGCTGATTTTCTTTACATTCTTTCTTTGTCTTAAATTGGTGATTTGACACTTTCTTCTACATGTCTTGGGAGTTGACCCATCTCTGGCCATAATGCTCGCTTATCAGCTCCTAATGTGACCTTTACAAGTTTCAGAAGTTCTAAGCATTTATTCCTTCGAAAAGAAAACTGGAGTATCAGGTATCCTAAGTTGATAGCTGTGGGTCGGGGTGACCGGCGCAGCCCCCCAATGAGATAGGAGATGCTCTTATGGGCGACAGTTAACTGCTGCTTTATTTATGTGGGCTCTGGTTTATATATTTGGCCGTGACCAATCACAGGCTGCCATAAGGAAGCAGGGCGGGAATGGGACGCAGGCTCTGGCTACTATATCCAGCTGTGGCCAATCAGGAGTTGCCACAGAGTCGGCACGGGGCGAATACGGAGTGAGCATGAGGTGCGCACGGGTTGGCTAATTTAGAGAGGGATGTAGCACATTGCGGAAGCTGGCGTGGTCCTTAGTCTCGGGTGGGGTATGGTATGTTGAGCGCCTGCGCCCAACATCTCCCCCTTTGTTTATAACTGACGCAGGGTCTCCAGAGGTCAGTGCCCCTCGTGAGGCGTCATGCTGCGCAGTCATGACGGTACCTCACTACCCATTGGTGCTCTTTTGGAGGGGGCGGGAGTGTTGTTTTATGAGCCCAACCCGCATGCTCACCAACATGGGGACCGGGGTGTGTCCTGGCCAAGGACGACACCCCCTGCGATGCTTTGCTCTACACCTGCGTCACAGCATGGCGAGCCATGCTGCCGGGCTTTGACCAGATTCTACGATCAGCAATGCTTGTTTGATACTTTGTCCCTATTCCTTTGTCTGTGAATCCGACAGAGCAGAAGTAGACTGCCGAATGCAGCAAATGTAGTCATGGTAGCCAGAGCCCCTATTCCTGCCCATTCCTTTATGAAAGCCAATTGGAGAGTTGGTCCGAGCTGGATCACAGGAAACTCATCTGGGTCCGTCATAACTGGAATCGGTACGAACTGGAGTACCTGCATAACGGCAGCTGAAAGTGTACTGTTATCCCAACATTGTGACATATAACAGGTTGCGGTAGAGCAATTTGGAAAAGTCATATTTGTGGTGTTTATGGTGGCCAGGGAGAATCCTCATAATATCTCCTGGGAGTATCCATCCAGGGGGTCACAAGCGGTAAACTGGAGGACCCTTGCCCAGATAGGGGTGCAGAAGGATCCCCGGGGCCTCCAAGCTGGCGCACCCTTAATCGTGGTGGGCTCGACTTGGGCCCCCTGCAAGGGGTCAATCCAAGAGGAGAGGTTGGTAGTTTTTGGGGGAATGCATCCTGATAATGTAGAGGGACTGAAGCAAAGAGTGCTATTGAGGGAAAAGGAGGTGTTATACCAGCGACTTGCGGTGGAGTTAGCGTCTGGGATGCAGGGAAGATTGTGTCCACACCGAGAGGCGAAAAAGGATGGGGAGATAGGGACTAAGTGCGTGGACCGGCTGAGGGATCGGCCAGGCACGAGCGATGTCCCAAAAGTTTGGTTGGCTGCAAGGACCGTACGAGATGCAAGAAGGAGGGGAAAAGGAGGCTACTAACCAGGGGAGTTGGCCAAGGTGCCATGGTTAATGGGAGTTGTGGGTGTACTTGCTTGGTCTGGCTTGTGAGGCTCCTGTTGGTTCCCCTGTTCTGTGGTTGACGTTTCCTCTGGGTCGGGGTCTGGTGGTTTGCAGGGACGTATCAGGCGTTCCGGGACCCAGACAGGTTCGCTGCCTTCTTCCTGCGGGAAGATACAGACCACCCCTCTCGTCCAACTAAGTACTGGGCTGGGGCCTCTCCACACCCCATGCAGGAGGTCTTTCCAGCGTACCCAACCATGTTTGGGTGCGACAGGGTTGGCATGTAGCTGTGCTGGCGTGGATCCTTGTGGGTTGATGTTTACAAAATTGTAAGTAAAGAGGGTGAGATTTAGTCTGGCCCTAGGTGTCATGCCCTGGGCAATACCCTCCTTTTGTTTAAACAGAATAGACTTGAGGGTTTGATATGGCCTAACTTTAATTGCTCTTGAATAAGTTTGGATGCGGCTTCTGCTTTGTCTTGTGGTAGGGGCCACTGATTTATCCAAATGGGGTCATTAGAGACCCATGTCAATTTGAAAGGGGCAGAAGCTGAGTCAGTGACCCCCACTAAAAACCCAACCCTTGCCTCAGAGCACGTGGTTGTGCCTGGATGGGGAAAGGCCTTCCTTGCAGGTCTTTGCCTAATCCTTTGCCTGGTTCATACCCTTGATTTTTAAGAATTCTCCTGGCTGTGTGAGAATATTCATTGCACAAGGTCAAGTCTAGGGCAGAGAGCACTTCTCTCCCCTATAGGGTAACTGGAAGCTGGAGAACATAGGGTATGAATTCTCCTGAGTGTCCCTCATTGTCTTCCCATTTAATTATCTGACTACTAATTTTAGGTGCATGAACTGATCCCAAGCCTTGCAGTGTTTGTTGTGCCGTCTGGGTAGGCCAGGTTAGTGGCCAGTCCTTTTCAGCTATAATAGAGCGGTCTGCTCCTGTGTCTAGCAGTCCGGATATTTTTCGCCCATTGAGTGACAACGTTAGCATGGGGCGCTCATCCAATCTAAGAACGAGGGCAGCAAAGGCTGGGTCTGATGATCCAAATCCTCTGTCTCCTCTAATACCAGACAATGATGGATAGTCTCCATGACGGCTGGATAATACTAGCATCTGAGCGTTGCGGTCTCCTGCCCCTACAGCTACTGGGCCTTTAGGAGCCTGCATCATCACCTTTATTTTTCCTGTGTAATCAGAATCTACAACACCCGGTAAGACCTGTATTCCTTTCATGGAGAGGGATGATCAACCAATTATCAACCCTACTGTGCCTTCCGGTAAGGGGCTGGACATATCTGTCTCTATGGCCTGTATCCCCATTTTCGGGGTTAATAGGAGTCCAGTGGTGGCACAGAGGTCAAGTCCCCCTGAACCCGGAGAGGTTCTCCTCGGTTCTGACCTGCCCATGTTGGTGTCATTGGCAGTGTCTGGTCTATCATATATTCTCTGGCTGGGTAGAATCGGGGGCCCACCCCCCGGGGGGCCCCCCAATCCCGTTTTTTGGCCTCTCTGGGTTACGGCCCTTACCTGTGAGGGGCAGCCCATTTACATCAAAGGTGGAGCGGCACTCCGCGGCGGAGTGATTTCCCTTTTTACATCTGGGGCACTTTCGGTCTTCAGGAGGGGGGGTTGTTCTCTTCCGGGTCCCCAAGATGGGCAGTCTCTTTTTATGTGTCCCTGTCTGCCGCATTTGAAGCAGCCTTCTTTCGGGCGGGCGCCATTTTGTGGCGCTGCTCTGCCTCCCTGACCTTCTTTAGATAGCTTCATTAACATGGCCGCCAAACCTGAGTTGGTTAATGGCCCCCCGATCTCCCGACAGAGTTTCATCCATACCTCAAGGGATCTATTTTTGTATGGGCTAATAGCAGAGCGACATATCAACCTGGTCTAGAAATTCTGGATTTGCTTTCATTTTATTTTCAGTCCCTTTTCTCTCAGTAAGTCGCTCAAAGCAATTAACAGCGGCTGACTGGCAGTGTTACCCATGTTAAGGGGAGTTTCAAGAGTTTCTTTTGTTTTTCTTTTTTTTTTTTTTCCAGGGACAGCTTAGTCCCCGCGCCCCTTTACGGCTCCCTCAAAACCGGCCTCTTTACGGCCCCCGGAACTCTCTTTACGAGTTCCTGACCCTTGCGACGCGTCCGCCCAAGGTTGCCCGATAGCCCCCGCCATCCGGCCCGGCAGCACCCGCTGCCTGTTGTGTAGCACCCACTACCAACGTTGAGCAGTTTAACCTGTCAGCCCCCGCCCGCCGCATAGCCCCCGCTATCAGTGCTTGAGGGTTTTACCTGTTAACGTTTCTGTTCCATCGGAGAGAGAGGTTCATTCCCCGTACTGTCGGAGAGAGGGTCTCAGCGTTCCCTGTACGGGCCACCAGTTGACTGGCGCAGCCCCCCAATGAGACAGGAGACGCTCTTGTGGGAGACAGTTAACTGCTGCTTTATTTACGCGGGCTCTGGTTTATATATTTGGCCGTGACCAATCACAGGCTGCCACGAGGAAGCAGGGCGGGAATGGGACGCAGGCTCTGGCTATTATATCCAGCTGTGGCCAATCAGGAGTTGCCACAGAGTCGGCACAGGGCGAATACGGAGTGAGCATGAGGTGCGCACGGGTTGGCTAATTTAGAGAGGGATGTAGTGCATTGCGGAAGCTGGCGTGGTCCTTAGTCCCGGGTGGGGTATGGTATGTTGAGCGCCTGCGCCCAACATCGGGGAGCAAGGAATCACAGTACATCACCCCTTTAATTTTAGTAAGGAGAGAAACCTCATTGGATTGCTATAGAATATTAGTGAGCTTTCCTCCAATATCTTGGGTTGCCCATGTCTGTTTCTGGAAGGATCACTGGGCTCAGAGTGGGGAGATATGTCCACCAGGAGGACAGTTATTTAGTTTGTCACCATCTTCCATGGGGACATGTGAGGTTGTGGGTTGGTTATGGACTGGTTGTGTATCTCCATGTAGCCATAGCACAGTTCATGGAGGAGGGAAAGTTGGAGAGACCTTGGGGGCTATAGAATGGTTGAAAAGATGCAAGCTGGATGTCCTCCTTTTTTACAGTATGAAATGCTGCATGTCACACCACCAATGAGCTCTCCAGACGTCCTCAAGACGAGTCCTGTGGTGGATGCGGCTGGCTGGGTGGACGTGGATAAGGAAACACTGCAACACAAGAAGTACCCCAATGTGTTCGGGATCGGGGACTGCACCAACCTACCCACATCCAAGACTGCTGCTGCAGCAGGTAGGACACCTGGCTCTGTCTCCCTCCTCTCCACCCTAGGCTGTTGTCTTAGTTACTTTTCACTTGTTGCTGAGATAAAATACTCAACACTCAAAGTTAAAGGGGAAAGCATTGATTTAGCTCGCAGTGTGTAGAGGTTTCAGTCCTTCATCGGCTGGCTCCAAGGCAGGGTGGTGTGATGGAGGAGAAGCAGTCGATGGCAGGATAAAAGCAAAAGCAACAAGGGACCACCACAGCTCTTTCTGTCCCTTGTATTTTATCCAGGCTACTTAGGGCAGGCAGCACTCACACCCTTAATCCTGGTGCCCCTGACCCTAGCACTGCACCCTGAATCAGTTCCAGCATCTCACACTCTAGATCCAGCCACCTCTGAAAAAGCCCCACCTATGACAGCATGAGGTTTTGAGGGGACCTCTAGACAAAGCCATAACAACAGCACTATCATAGCAAAAACAAAAGTTTGGCACAAATAGAATTCCTTTCACAATGGAAGACTGATGGTGACCTTGACTGTGAGGGAGAAGTGAGTTGTCAGGGAGCCTCGTGCTATACGAGCAGAAAGCAGCTTAGGCCGCCTTTTCTAGGTCAGACAGGTAAACACTTGAGAGACAGCATCGCTGTTTAGCTTTCCGGGCCTCTCTTACTTCTCATTCAGCCACGCTCACATCCCTGGCATTCTTGGCCTCAGAAGCCAGGCAAATTGGTTCCTTCTCTCCTGCCTGAAGCTCCATAAAGCTAAGGAGCCATTTGTTTCCCAGCAAACACGTGCAAGTCAGTGATAGCCTGCAGACCAGAAAATTGTTCTATTAAGACAGACATAGTGGAGCGTGTCCTGATTGGTGCACGATTAATGCCTCAGCCTGGGAAACTAGGTTCCTCACTACCACGTCCCGCAAGAACAGCGGCGGGAGAATTGCCTTCCAGATTCCGCTGTGTGCACACAGGAAGGAAATCCTGTCCTCCTGCTGCTGGGTGTGGTGAATCCCACACCTGCAGGGCCCCTCCTTACTTTCACAGTTTTAGCAGGAAGAAAGACTTTCTAGGAGACTCACCGACTGTCTTTGTCATTATTAGTGACAACTCTCTCTTGGCTTTTTAATTTCTTTTTTGTTTTGGTACTGCGAATTGAACTGATGACTTCACTCTTGCCCTGCAGGGGCTTATACCGCTGAGCTAAATCCCTGGCCTTAATTTCAAAAATTCAAATCTATGATAAATGTGAAGGAAACTACAGTGAACACTCACACACCATTCAGGTATCAACCAGCTATTAATATTTCTGTGACATGAGTTGCTTTATCATCCTGTATAGTTTAGGTATTTTGTGATATTTCCCCTGATATACCCCAGCTTGCTTCTCCGAGGACAGTGGTGGCAAACCTATAGCATGTGTGTTGTTTCCCTTTAAAGACGAAAGATGTTAATGTGGGAGTTATTTTTTTCTAAATTAAACTTCAGTGTTCAGGTTTCATTGCAATGTTGGCACTTTGCGATAAATAAGTGAGTTTTGGATGGCACTTGGGCACTCATCTCTAAAAGTTTCACCATCCCTGTCCTGAGAGAAAGGGCATTTTCCTCCATACACAACATCATTATCATCCTGGAGAACTATAACACTATAAAATAAACTCTCCTACATTCAGTCCAGTTTGGATTTCTCTAGTTTTCCTAAAAGTGTCCTTGGTATCTCCCTGCATCCCTTAGATTTGCTGGCCAGTCAGCCACCCCACCCTGCATCTCCCGTTGTGCCTCTTTACTCAGCTTTAATGTGTGTCTTTTGTGACACTGGCATTTTTGACGCGTGCAGGCTGCTGCCCTGTAGCAAACCCTGCGACTTTACATTGCCTGGTGGTTTTCTCTTGGGAGGTTCAGGCTAAGTGTGTGAGAGTCTCTGTCCCACAGGCCGGGAATCTCCTGCTGGGATGTGCAGGAGCAGGTCACGTTAGCTCGCCTTGCCTCTGACGAAGGAGATTTGTCACTGGATGAAATGGTGTCCGCTGTGCTTTTCCATCACGAAGCTGCCTTTTGTCTTTGTAATTTATAGTGAATTAGTGAGGCGAAGCTTTGAATTTGCATTCACTTAGTGTAATCCTGCTGAGTTTGTGTGGGGCGATCCCTGTTATGTGAGTCCAGGCCACCTGGCTTTTAGTCTCCTTCCTACAAACCTTGGTTCCCATGTTTCGGGTGTTAGTGAGGATGAAACGGAGAGTTATGAGAAAAGTCCTCCCATCTGTCCTGCCTGCATCTGCTTGGCCTCAGCCTTCTCCCAGCTGCACAGAGAGGACCCTGTCTTTCCATCTCGGTTTTAGAAGCTGTGCTCTGTTATGTGGCTCCCAGAACTTACTCTCCGAGTCCATGCTTGGTTCGCATTTGAGTTGCTTTCAGCTCATTTTTGCTTCAGACAGCACCACAGTGATGGCTCTGCATTGTCTCTTCATCCCCTTGAATGTCCTGGATGAGTGAATAATAACAGCTCAGCTGTCCCTGAGGAGACCCGCATTTCTCCTCGGCTCCCTCCCTGCCCTCTGAGTGTCACTAGGCAGTGCTGACCCTTGTCCACCTGTTCCTCCTGTGACCTCCCTTGCAGCCTCCACCAGGCGCCTCTGCTGTTGTGAGTGCAGTCCAGTCCTGCTGGGTTGAACCTAGTTTTCCTGGGGTTCATGCCCTTTCTCTGCTACCTTCTGTCCCGGGTTCTCCTTACATTACCCACAGCACAACTGAGACCCCAGTGTGGCATTTAACGAAAGCTAACACATGCTGTGGCAGGATGTAAGGAGATTGTAGCACATGAAGAAACCACAAGGCACATGTGACTGAGCACACGCACACTGTGAGCCTGGCTGAGGATGGTAGGGTGTGACTGCCCCCCAGTTCCCAGGCCTGGCCAGCCTCGGTGCTGTGGTCCTTCTCTGTCCTTCTCCATCACCCGTGACCCCCTGCAGCGGCATCCTTTCAGGTCGCCTCAGTACAGATTCCAAGCCCTTGCTGGCCTCAGAGATAAACAGAATTTGCTAAAATGGAAGTGTAATTTTTGAAGATGTTGCTTTGCCCACAATGGAGATAGCTGTTTAACACTTTCAAGTAGAGTTCCTCATTTACTTTTTTAAAAATCTCATTCTAGAAAAAAAAACCAGGTTAAAAACCTTTATTACTTTGAATTGAGTGTCAGCAAACTGCAGTCCGTGGGCCAAAAGTAACCGCCACCTATTTTTGTACAGTTGGCTGACGTAGTTTCTGCAGGGGAGCACTTGTAATCAGTTTGGTAACAGGGAGCACTTTGCCTCCTTTACTCAGTCTAAAAAATTCCATTATCCTACTAGTGAGAATCAGTAGCCCCATATTACACAAATGTATATTCTGACTTTTTATCTATAAGATTTCTGTGAAAAAATGTTTTTCTTATAGCATCTCTGTTTTTGCTTTATGACTGACAAGACCTAAAATTTTCTTTACAGAAAATCTTGTGATGCCTGATTTTCAGGAGAGCAGACTTTAATGAGCACATTACAATATCAGAGTAACCCATCTTCCCTCAAAAATAAACTTGGTCTTTTATCTTTAGAGACACACATGCTTATTACCTTTTAAAGCTAGTCTTCATTATTTCAAATGGAACATGGATTGGGACCAGATGATATTTAGGAATTATTGCTGATATTTTTAGGTGTGAAAGTGCTGTCATCCTGGTGATAAAAAAAAAATCTCTCACCTGTCAGAGACAGAAATATTTGAGTACACACGATGTCAGCTCTGAAAATGTCCAGAAAATAAAGTGGCCTGTATGAGGTAATAGATGAAAATAATAGGTAGATACCTGGAATATTTTCATAATAAAAAGGGTAGTCACTCCACTTTTTCCATCGGGAAAAAATACGTGCCTGCTCGTATACAGAGTCAAAGGTCAGTGTAATTAGGTGCATCTAGGTGGGCTTCTCCATCAGTCTAACCCAGCCTTGGCCAAGGCTAGTCTGGAAGAGAGGAAACCCAGTGTCTGCTTAACTGCATGTGGTTGGGGCCACCATTCAAGGCCATGTGTCCACAGGGACCTGGGATATCCTGGATGGCCTTGGGACACTGGGCACAAAGAGCAAGTTGACAGCATCAGTCCAGCAGGAGGGCGCGGGTGGGCAGGGCCATCCTTGTGGTGCTTTTGACAGGTGCCTGGCTTTGCTGAGACATCTGCGTGGCTTTGGTGAGTGGAAGGACCCCTGTGGTGGTCAGAAGTTCACACTGTCCAAAGTCTCTTTCTATTCAATCTGGATGGAAGGGGAATGGAATCTTCTTAGCCTGTACCTATGAAAGTTGTGTGCAAAACGCAGTTTTTCTGACTTTTCTATTTCTCTTATAGCTGCCCAGTCGGGAATACTGGACAGAACGATTTCTCTGATTATGAAGAATCAAACACCAGTAAAGAAGGTTTGTGTGCCTTGTAGGAATCATTGTCTCAACGATCATTTTCTGCTCTGTGTGGATCTGGTGGTTTTCCACAATTTTCCCACTTTCTTAATTAGTTCTCCAATGTGAGCACTTCCAATTTTTTGCCTTTGGTACTATTTTTATATAACTTACATTTGTGTAAAAATTACATAATGTAAATTACAAAGTTTTCTATGTAATTCTGTAAAAAAGTCATTTCCAGCTCAGTTTCATGTGCACTTTCAGTACGATGGCTACACTTCGTGTCCCCTGGTGACTGGCTACAACCGTGTGATTCTGGCAGAATTTGACTACAGAGCTCAGCCCCTGGAAACCTTCCCCTTCGACCAGAGCAAAGAGCGGCTCACCATGTACCTCATGAAAGCCGACCTGATGCCTCTGCTGTACTGGAATTTCATGCTGAGGTGGGGGTGCTACCTGGTGTTGGGGGGGCATCTCCTTTCAGTTTCTACCCAAAGCTTCTGCTTGCTAATGGCATCCACCCTGCTGTGCCATTTCTCATGATAGTGAGGGCATCCTTGAGGGGTTCCAGCCTCCCCCATACTCTATGTGCTTCATTATTAGGAGTCACCTAGGCTTTTGTCTGCTGTGCTCTGCCCCCTTTCACTGCCAGATAAGTAACAGTAATAAATATTTTCATCTGGCAAGTGCTTTCCTTTCTGCTCCTTTATTTTTTTAAAGGGTCTTATGTTCTGGAAAAATGAAAGTGATTCAGAGCACAGACTTGGGAGTCCAACCTGTGTTTGAATCATGCTTCTGCTGTAGCTTAGCTTATGTTCTAGGGCAAGTTGCCTAAACTCTGGGTTTAAGTTGATTATTGGCAAAACAAGAGTAACATTGCCTGCCTCATAAAATGGGGGTTAGTGAGATAACACAGAAAGGAGTGAGAGGAGACATTCAATACGTAAGAGTGATATAAATGAACACTTCCCCCTCTTTCTTCTAAAACTGATGATCTCTTTTGATTTTCTCAAACTCATGGTCTTCAACTAAGGAAGCTTTGGGCGATATCTGGAGACATTTGTGGTTGTCACAGGATGGAAGGCACTGGTCACTAGGGATCAGAATCCAGGGATACTGCTAAGACCCTGCAATGCACAGGACACCCCCCATAATGGAGCACTACCTGTTGCATAATGTCATTAGGGCCAAGGTTGAGAAATCTGCTAGCCCCTGTGTTGAGTTCCTGAGAGGTGAAAGCAGAGAAGACAGCAGTTTGACATAGAAGAGGCGTCTCGCAGCTTGAGTCAGCATGTGCAGGTCCACCCAGCAAGTCAGCGTCAAGCCAGGGCTCCAAGGCGGTTTTCTTCTGGTCCTGGACCCTTTCTTCCCCACTGGAAAGGCTGACAGATTTTACTTTGTGTGCTGTTAAGTGTGCTTGGAGCACCCTGGCTTCCCTTCAAGATGCAGCTGGCTGGAGTCACCCCATTTCTTCAGCCTCAAGTAACTTTTCTGTCTTATTTCTCACAGGGGCTACTGGGGAGGACCGGCCTTTTTGCGGAAGTTGTTTCATCTGGGGATGAGTTAAAGATGGCTCTGCCCTGAATCTTTTGGATGGCTTCTGGGTCAGAACTGCAGTTCCCAAATTGACCGAGAATGGCATGAAGGGCTGTCCCAGCCCTGTGAAGACTGTCTCGCTGGACAATGGTAACTTTATGACATCCCTCTGCCATCACGTGGGTTGACCAGAATGAGATCAATTCTTTGGAAATATTCAAGAATCGACTTCTGTTTTCTAAATAAAAGTTTGTCATTTCTATGAGAAAATTGACTCTTGAATGGTCGGAATGAAAAGTTGCTACAGTGCTGGTATTGGTGGGATAGCTTTCTTGTCATCTCTGAGAAGTCAACTTGCAGCTGTTCTAACTGTCCAAAGCCTGTTTGGAGTCTCAGGAAAGTGGCTGCAGGGACAACACTGCCTTGAATATCGAGCTCCTTAGAACCCTTGCTGTGGGGCCTAGCATGGTGAGCCGGGAGCCCTTTCCACCCTTCCTGTGACTCCATCCTGGTAGCAGTTATGATTTCCCCAGCCATGGACCAAACATGGTCTGGCGCTTGGTTCCAGGAATCCTAGTGTGTGTATAGTAGACGTTTGATCCATTTGGTCCCAGTTTTGACTGACAAAGTTTTAAATGAATCTGCACTGGAAATGCTGCCGGCAATAGCAGTTCCAGCTTTTGTGAAGTTCAGCAGTGGCTTCACTATAATTTGCTCCAAGTCAGTTGCTTATGGAGGTTTCATTTCTGTAAGTTCAATCTGGCATTTTAGAGTGTGTATGTTTCATATCTATAAATGCACCTGAGCAGAAGGACACAGCTATCTCTACCATGCCTCAGATTTTTTATAACCCATTAGAGTGCAAACCCTTTTATGTGTTTCTAGGACTGACAAGTGCCTCTGGTTTTCAGGATTTCTCCTGAAGTCTTTCACAACTGATCAGGGGTTCATCTATTCATTCAGTGGATTCTTACTGAGCACCTGCTACTTCCCAAGTTCTATTTTTGGCCCAGGGTATGCAGCTATGACCCAGAGAGATAAGAGCCTGCTCACATTTCTGTGGCTTCTATTTTAGTTTCCTGCTCTTCTTTTCCTGGGATGCCTGGGAGCTTGCTAGGTGTAGCTGTGCCTTGATTTGGGGAGTGGACTTCCCTCAGGAGCACACATTCTGGGAGAGAGTAGGGAATCACCCTGCAACAGGGATGGATGATGGTTTCCAAGGGACCACACATCTTGGTTTGCCTGTGATGTTCATGGTGAACTCTCGAGGTCCCTGCATAACTTATCAATGATGCCCATTTTCATACTCCAGAATGTTCCTATTTGGGCAGCAGAGTGGGACCACTGCAGTGGCCACCGTCCCCACCTGGGTCCAGAGTGGGAGAGCAGTACTACAGATGGCAGTAGTGGGCGCTTGCTGCCCTTCTGACTTTCTTCCTTGTGGTGTCTGTGCAGCAAGCAGGGCTGGAAGATGCTTCAGAGCTCTGTGCAGTTCCTGTTGACTCTGCCTCCTGATGGGCAGCTCAGTCTCACAGAATTGCCAATTCAGGGCAGAGTGTTGGGTTTATCCCAGGTTACCCTGTTCTGTAGGGCCCAAGGAGTCCTGGGACCAGTCCAGCCAGGACCTGTCCTCGGAGGTGGATAGAAATGCTGGCCAGGTTGGCTTCGGGGTCTCCAGAGAACAGGGCTGTGATTCCTGGGTCCAGATGAGGCTCTGGGTGAAGTGACTGAAATTCTGTTCTGAGGTAACCCAAGCCTTCCGGGTCTGATTATGATAATTCATGCTGAGTAAAATCTTCAAGCATGGGCAGTGGCTTTGGAGATCACTTCTGCAGAGTTCACTGCCAAGACTGGAGGCAGCAGTGAGACTCACTGGCCAGCCCACTGGTCTCCAGCACAGTGTGCGTGCTCTCTCTCTCTCTCTCCTATGAGCTTGGAAAGATAAATCTCTGCTGACTTCCAGAAAGCTCAGCCTTTGAAACTTACTACCTTATCTCAACCATCAGTCCTTCGCTCCTTGTCTCTAGAGCTTCTTCTCAGTTCCTGCTTTGGCATCAGTGCTGCATGAACTGTCGGTGCAGTAGCATCACCAAGACTGTGGTCTGGGTACCACTGTGGTATTGGGAGGGAAGGATGGGGCACACAGACGGAGCTTTAGTAGAACTTTCTTTGGCATTAACATCTGAAACTTCTTCTCTTGTCTAACTTTGGTAGCAAATTTAACAAAAAGATAAAAGGAATAAAAATTACTTCCAAATCCATCTTCTAGGAATAACTAATAACGTATTACTATCTCTTTTAATCTAATATTATTATGGATAAAGTTTCTGTAAGACATAGGATCATGTTGGAAGGATTGTTTCTAATGATGGTGTAGCATAGTATTTAAAAATAGCTCCTCTGATTTTTTTTTTAATGTATTGGATAACTCTGGTCTGATATTAAGTCTCCTTCCTCCCTGCTTCGTGACCTGAGACTACAGAGATTTTATTCAAGATGGGCATCTCAGGGAGGGGAGAAACGGAGAAACTCTTTGGAACCCAGGAATAAAAACTAGGTCTGTCTGGTTCTGCTGACTGCCAAGTAGCTAAGGAAATTGCTCCTCTGTAAGCTGGAAGAAGTTAAGGTCGGCTGATGAGGGAACTGTGGGTGGTGAGGCAATGTTCTACCCAACACTGATTTTTAGGAAGCAACTCCCCTGGGTGTAGCAGGTGGTGGGCACCCCAAGTTAGGTTATCCCTTTGCCTATTGGCATGCAGCAGAACTGTGACTGCATCTGTGACCATTCCCACAAGGACAGTGACTCTGGTGCTAGGCTGGGCGTGAGCTGAGCCAGTGGTTCAATGCAGTCCATCGTGGCTACTGTTGTCTACCTTGGGAGCTTATCAGAGGACTCAGAAACATAACTTCCCCTCAACTAGAGCTTCCTGCCTCTCTGGCCACAGTGGGACCTCAACAGGGCTCGCCAGCATCCCCAGATAACTGAAGGGTGTTAGTGTGCTCTCACCACCCACTCTGTCTCATTCTATCAGAGGTCCCTTACTAAAAGATCACCAGGGTCACAGCTCGTGGATGTGGGCAAGTGGCTGAGAGTGCAGATCTGGTCCAGCCTTTCTGGGTTGGAATCACAGATTCTGCCTTTTGCTGACTGTGCAACCCAGAAGGAGTCATGCAAACTCTCTGTCCCTGCCTCTGTTTTCTTATTTATAAAGTGGGAGTTATCATAGCATCTATCTTAGTGAGTTATTGTGAAGATTAATTGTGAAGCTAAATGTGGTGGTGCACTCCTGGAATCCCAGTGCTTCGGAGGCTGAGACAGCAGGAAGTTTGCCAAGAGTTTGAGGCCAGCCTGGGCTATATAATGAGATTGTGTCTCAAAAACAAAGCAAACAAACAAATGAACAAAAGTGAAAAACTTCTTATATATGAGATGCAATGAAAATATGCAGTGAAAATTTAAATTAGGAAAATTATTACAGTAAAATACCCGCTGCCCTCAGTCCCCCTAAAATACCCCCTAAGCACACTCACCCCACCATTCTGTGACTTTTTGCAGCAGCTCTGGAGTCCTCTTCTGTTAGTGTCTTTATGAGATGTGCTAAAAAATAATATGGCAGATGCTGCTTCCAGTGCCATCGAATGGACAAAGGCAGGCTCCTGAAAACACCTCTGCCCTCATCCGCCTCATCCACTGGATCTGGCACTGCCCAACTTCTGGCTTTTCCTCCAGGCCCAATGACCATGAAAGGGAAGTGTTTTGAGCTGACCCAAGACGCTGAGGCAGCCACAGCAGCTCGGTGAGAGACATTCAGGGAAGAGGACCTCTGGGACTGCTGCGGAAAGTGGAAAAGCCATGGATGAGCGTGTTTGGAGGGAGGGAGTCTGTGGAGGGCATTCATGGGAATGTGTCTGTCACCATGATAAATTTAAACCAGTTTAAACATACACCATGACTTTTGGTTGCATCTTATATAAGAAACACTAGGTACTTGCCAAATACCAGGGACTGTTCCAGGTATCACCTATCATAAAGTGCTTCGAGCCAATCCGAAGCTGGGTGGGTGCTACCAGGGAGCTGCCCTGTGCTCTCCATACCAGTGGGGGGCTCCTTTCCTAGAGGAGCCTGGGTTGCTGGTCTGCACCACAGTGTGTGGACTCCTGTTAGATCAGCTTACGGAAAACCCTCAGTGTGCCGTCTCTCTTGGTCTCAAATCATCTGTCTCTAGCATATGCAACTGCATTTCACAGAGATCTGTGTCTGGATGTGCTGTTGGGTATTGAGAATCAATGAGCAGAGCAATTCCTTATTAACTGTTCCCACAAACATTTCATTTCCTGGCCATCTAATATAAAGAAGGCCCTTGGGATTCATAGATGAAAGCCCTTGCCCTGAGTTCCTGAATTGTGTCTGCCATGGGAGCTGCCACGTCGGATGTCTCCTATCTGCTTTCACAACCCTCAGAATACATCACCGACAGACACGAGGCATTCAGGGAAAACACACAGCAGAGGGTGCAGTTTGAGCTGAAGTAATCAGAATTCATTTCACTGCAGGAGACAGAAATGTAGCCCAAACATGCTTGAGAAAGGAAGGAGCTTACTGGATTGAGCAATTCAAGGGCAGATGTTAGGTGTGGGTAGGTCTAGAGGTCAAAAATAATAGCTGAGGTGCTCTCGCTCTGTCTCTCTGTTCTTTCTCCTTCCAAGCTGCCCTTTTACTGTGGATAGGTGCGCTTACCCTGGCCGGGGAAGAGAGTCTGTGTGTGTCCTCCACACACGGCCTCCCCACAGGGGAGAACACTGCTCTCTCAGTGTTCATGGGCCACTTCTGACTGAGGGTTACGACAGTCACCTGAGCAGTAAATGTGTTTCTCCCATCTGAATGAATGTGGGGCTTTGTCTTCTATGTTTAGTGCTGTATCAGCAGGACCTAGGACAGTCCTTTGAGGCACACAGTAAATACTCAGTAAGTGTTAAAGGCAGTGTTAGAGTCAGTTAAATTTTGATCACAACCCATGCCACATCTAGGAGAATGGGACTCATAACTCAGAGAGAGAGAGAGAGAGAGAGAGACAGAGACAGACAGAGACAGAGAGTCAGAGACAGAGAGAAAGAGAGAGAGAGAGAGAGACAGACAGACAGACAGAGCAAGAGACAGGTAGGATGTGGGCTCCTGAGCCCTGGGGGCTGGACCTCTCTGGTGTATTTTCCTTTATCTCTGGCCCTACTCTTCTGCTCCTGGTGGCTGATGGGCACCGTCTATACCCATGGTGTCTCCTGCTGCCTGGTTTCTGAGTGGATTCTGCCAATGGGGGTGAGGGAGGAGATGCAAGAGAAGGAGGAGAGAAACGGTGGCCTTTGGTTCCTCTGGCTTCCTCCCTGAAGGTCTGCTTTGGCCTTGTCATGTGGTAAGAATGGTATCTAAAACTACAAATTTACTAACTTTCATAGCAATTTTGTAGATATTTTTAAACTGCTTAGTAATTATAAAATTCTTTTTAAAATGATACTTGGGATCATACCCAGAGCCTCAAGCATGCTAAACAAGGGCACGTGTCTTATGTATGTCCTCCCATCTCATGTTTTCCTAATCATTTCATATTGTATTCTATAAAGGACTAGTCTGAGAATTCAATCAAAACGAAAGCAAATAAGAGTTGCACACTTAGTCCTTCCACGCAGATCCCTGGAGAAGCTTACTCTGCCTGCCGGGGCCAAAGAACTTCAACATGATGGGGCTGGAGCTAACAGAGCACCAGGGAAGAGAAAATTCATAGATATTTAGAGGAAAAGCAAAGATCACTATGTAGCTAGTTTAAGCAGCAGTTAAGTATCGCACAGACTGGCAAATTGTACTGTGAGACCAGTGCGGTCCGGTACTTGTTTATGAATAGAACTTTGCTGGAATACAGTCACGTGATCCACAGTGATGTCATGGTACATTATGCAGTGGTTAGAGAGACCGAGTGCAGCTGGCAGAGCCTCACTATTTATTACCTGGTCCTTTTTAGAAAAATTCTGCTGTCTCTGGGAATATTGGGAGACAGTTACAGAACTCTAGGAACAGCATCAGGAAAGCTCTTCCCCTCAGAAATCCCAGGAATACTGCCCCCCGCCCCGCCCCGGTCTTGGCTGTGAGTCCCTGTAAAGTAGGAGATGACCAGGGTGCCTACCCCAGCCTCCTGCCTTCCGGTGGCATGTATGTTCCTCAGCTGATTCTAATTAACTGGGTGCGTTTTCCAGGTGTTTCCATTGACCTGGAGCTGAGTGTGGAGGGCTGGACATAGGGAGTGACCAGTGAGGGCAGGGATTTGGAGCTAGGATGAGTCTCAGCCTTGGGTGCCGGTGATGAACTGTGCTGTCACCCATGGAGAGGGAGGAGAGCAGGAAAAGAGATTCTGGAAGGGATGAGAGAGCCTGTCAGGAGGTTAGATTCTCAAACTCTTGCCAATGGAGTGGAGTCATGGCCATCTGCCCCAAAGGGGTTTTTCTCAGATTTATTCATAGAGTAAAGCCATAAAGTACTTTTGACATAAAAAGAAATAGGTATTCCAAGGCTAGGATTCACAGATCTTGCTACGGCTGATAAACAGCCAGCTTGTAGACTAAAGGAGTTGTAAATCTCCCTTTCGGCAGGTTTAAAGGGGACATCCCAGGAACTGGAAAACATTGACAATTTATGGCACAGAGCCCTGCTGATGGGCACAGTGTTATGAATGCCAGAGAGAGCCCAGGAGCAAGGCCACAAGGGAGAAAGCACCTGGAGAGGAAGTGATGGGAGAGGAAGGTGGTCTCCTGTGAAAGGGCCTCCTTGAAAGGGTGACAGACCACTTAATCTCTGGGTGGCAGCCTTGGGGAGGTGGGGGAAAGGAGCTGCCTCCACCTCCAGCTTAATTACTGTTCGTTGGGGCTACTTCCATGGAGGTCGGGCTTCTTGTTGCTGGGGCAAAATACCCAGCACTGCAATTTAAAAGTGGGAAGGGGTAAGGGGAAGGGTTATTTGGTTCACAGTTGCTGAGATTTTGACCACAGTTTGTTGGCTCCAAAACAGAAGCATCATGACAAAAGGCTTCGCAGAGAAAGACTGCTGCAGTGTGGTGACAGAGGCAGAGGACAGGGCAAGGGCACCAGAGAGATAGGGACCCAGGGGCCAGGCTGGGTTCTCCTGGGCACACTCCTTCCCCAACCAGACACACCCAGAAGTGTGCTTTACTGAGGTCTCTAGCCAGTCAAGTGGACCATTAAGATTCAGTGTTACACCCTCCCTACTGTTGTCTGGGGACATTGCTCTAAATTTTGAAAAGACTGTGGCAGAAAACTCCTCCCCAACCTTTTCCTCTGTCTGGGAACATTCTCATGACTTCTGCTTTAGGCCTTTTCACTCTAACAGACATGATCTTATTAGCTTCCTCCATTTGGTAACATCCAGCTCTCAAACCCATTCTCACACCCTACAGTAACACGTATGCCCAGCTAACTGGTGGCTGGCTTCTGAATGAGGACGCTTTCAGTAGATTAGTGTACCAGTGCTGTACGGCAGGTCCTTAAACATCGATAACTAAAACAACATAGTAACTGTTATGGATTGAATATTTGTCCCCTTCCTATGCGTATGTCGAAGTCCTAAGCTCCAGGTGGGTTTATTGGTGTAACTGGAGCTAACACCTTTACAGAAGTGGTTAGGGTGAAGTCAGCAGGGCAAGGCTTCGTCCAAAGTTCAGTGTCTCTATTACAAAACACATCTGATCATGCTCTCTGTCATGTGAGGAGGCATCCAGAAGGAAGCTATCCTCAGGCCAAAAGGTGGCCCTAACCATGCTGGAAGTCTGATTCATCTTTCAAGACATGTTCAAGCACTACCTAGAGGCAAGAACTGTTTTCTCTCCTGTGTCCTCCGGATTTAATCCTTAAAGTCTAGTCTGGGTGGCTGCATCACATGGGTGCTGGTCCTAGAGAGCAGAGTCTTTGCATTTACCTCACCCTATAAACATTTGTGACACCAAGGAGGCCATCATGAGCCCTGTTTGGCAAGCCCTGTCCTGTGAGTGTGTGCATGTTTGCACACAGGCTTGCACACTTACCCTGCCCTTCCTCCAGCCTGGGGCTGGGTCCCCTGGTCCTCCTTTACCTTGGCCTCTGTGCTCCAGTGGTCCCTGTCCCAGAACTACTGTGGGTCCACATTCTTCTGGATTTCATGAGAAGCAGAACTGGCCTTTCCTGATGACCCTGCAGGAGCAGCCACGCTGGTCTCTGATTATTGGTGGACTCAAGAGTGAGAGCTCTCAAGACTTCAAGAAGGTGTCTTCGAACCGAGGCTTCTAGAAGGCAAACTCCTATGGACTTCCTGCACTGTGCCTGCTCTGTGTCGAGGGAATTGTGCCTCTGTGGTCCCCAAACCTGATGATGCATCCTCATCCGTGTCCCTCTAAGTACAGCTGGCTCAGTCGGCTTTCCCACTGTGTGTGAGGACATAATACCTGACATCCACAAGTCAAAGGAGAGAGTTTAATGAAACTATGGTTTCTGTCTAGATTACAGGAACATTTTATTCCATTTATGTCGTTATTCATGTCGTTTTTCCTATGTATAAATGTACAGCATATATGTATGCATATTTTTATACATACATAAATACTTTCACATACATGGATAAATATATGCATACTTCATATATATCATATGTATATGTGTATACACATTTTTCCTGAATCATTTTTGTTTGCTTTTTGACGCAGGTCTCACTATGTAGTATAGGCTGGCCTTGAACTCGCTATGTAGCCTAGACTGGTTGTGAACACACAATAATCCTCCTGCCTCACCCTCCTGAGTATTGGATTACAGGCATTCACCACTATGCCCAGTTTTTCTGAATAATTTACAAGTAAATTATATATTACTTTTGTCACTTTCTTCAGTGCTAGGATAAAAGATCTGACACCCACAATTTAAAAGAAGAGAAGATTATTTTGGCTCACATTTTAGAAGTTTCAGTCCTGTCGTGGTCGTCAGCATAGGGGAAGGGCATGGGCAGAGGAGAGCTGCTCACCTCATGGTGACCAGGAAGCAGAGACAGAAGGGAGGAGCCCAGGAGAGAGATAAACTCTTCCAGGTCACCCCCCATGGCCTGCCTCTTCCAGCCAGACCCCACCTCCTAACAGTGAGTCAGCTATAGCACCCCATAATCTAGTCTTCTTCCAGGGCCCTGGCTAGGAGTGCATGAAGCTCTTGGGGGACTTCTAGATAGAAACCATGACACATAGCCTATAGCTTTTCCCTGGGTGCTACATTGTATTCATTGCTTACCTAGAGTACTAGGATACTCAGTACCACCATAAGGATGGGCTCTCACACAGCCAAGGTGCAGTTGTTAATCTCACACATTCACTCTGATGCATTTTTACTGACCCATTACAGCACTTCCCTCCGGCAGGGAATCCAGGCTGGGGTCAGGCTGTGTGTGGTTCACCCATTTCTCTAACTTCCTTCTGTCTGGAGCAGAGCCACATCCTTTGTCTTTTATAGCACTGATCTCTTGGAAGAACCATGCCCTCCCCCTAATTTTAAAGCAGGACTGTGGGAAGCCACCTGAGATGGCACCCATTTCCTGCTTCCGGGTTCTTCCCGGCCTGAACAAGCCCGCCAAATTGTCATATCTGCCCAGTTACCCGTGACGCTAGCCTATCAGCTTGTTAGGCGCGCTTCTCTGTGATTGGATACTGCTTCCCCTTATAAGAGGTTGTTCCTGCCCCCAACGGCGGAAGAGGAATCAACACCGAGGGTGGCGGACCTTGTCAGGTCCGGTTCGCTGTACGTAATAAAGTTTGAGAGCTGATCCTGCTCGAGTTTGGTCTCCTGTCTCCCGCGGCTCCGGTCATCTGGTGGCCCCCGTACGGGGAAAAAGGTAAAAGACTCAGCGACGTGCCTCTTCGGCCGGGAGGTGCGATTGCTGTCGCCTGCGGTACGACGGAGGACCTGGCCCAATAACAACGGAAGGCCGCGAGCACCTCTTCTCTTCACCCTGATCAGCTACGTGAGATACAGCGGTTCCCGGGACAGGTGAGTACTGGGTCACCTGGGTTGGGTGGACGCACCTAACAGATTTTGAGCGCCACACGAGTGGACGCTGGGTTTTTTTTTTTCTTTTCTTTTCCCTTTGCATCTGTTTTGCTTTCGCTTTGCTAATATAGAGCTCGATTGGAATGCTCAGAGGAGCCCGGAGCCACTGCCGATTGTGGGTCTCCGGAGGACCCTCAGGGCTCTAATTCTGATTCTGATTCGGAAGGTTCAGAAGAGGAGGTTGTCTTCGCTAAACAGGACCCTCCTGCACAGCTTAAAGAGGAATTCAGGGCTCGGGAAGATAAAAAGGGGAACCAAACACCCACGATCACCCCCTTCAGGGCGCCAGGCCCCACTAAGCCCTTCCGCCCTTTGGCAAGTTCGCGAATTCAGGGCTCGGGAAGATAGCACCGCTGTGGCCGGAAGAGGAGTTGCTCCCTGGGCTGCCACCACAACCTATGGCACCGCCCTGGTTAGAGGGAGAGCTACTTCCTGGGTTGCCTTCTGCGCCCCCATCTGGGGAGGGAGGAGGACGTTCCTTCCACCAGAGGGTATGGTCGCGGCTTCCCTTTGAGTGTTCCGGTCTCCATGCATTCCCGGTACAAGTAGGAGGCAGGGGAGGAGGAGGATATTATGAGCCCTTAGAAATTAAACAACTTAAAACTATCAAGGACGCAGTTTCAGCTTATGGGCCCAATGCGCCATTTACCATGGCGCTTTTAGAGGCATTGGCAGGTCTGCTTTTAACTCCTGGAGATTGGACCCAGCTGGCACGCGCCTGCCTCTCCCCCGGACAATATTTAGATTGGAAGTCCTGGAATGAGGAATTCTGTGTAGAGCAGGCGGCAGCCAACAGGGAAAATAACCAGAGAGAGTGGAACAGGGATATGCTATTAGGGCGAGGAGCCTTTGAGGAAGATCAAACTCAATACCCTCGCCAGGTTTATGAACAAATTAGCCGCTGTGGCCTCCAGGCCTGGAGACGGCTGGCTGGAAAGGGAGAACATACGGGTCACCTTACAAAAATTATACAAGGGCAGGGAGAGCCATTTTCAGACTTTGTGGCCCGCATGCTTGAGGCCGCTAACAGGATTTTTCCAGATGCTGAGGCGGCTCACCCTCTCATAAAACAATTGATTTTTGAACAGTGCACTAAGGAGTGCCGTGATGTCCTAAGAACTAACAAAAATAGGTCCTTAGAAGAGTGGACACGCCTGTGCCGTGAATTGGGTGGCCACGGCCTAACGCCCAAAGGAAGAATATCATTGGCACTCTTTACCATAAATTTTTTAAACCTTAATCACAATAATCATTCCCCTGCCATGGAGCACAATAACCCGTCCCCGGCCGACAAAGGGCTGGTGAGATGGAAAGATGTCCTTACAGGACAATGGATGGGCCTGGATCCAGTGATTAGTTGGACCCGAGGTGCGGTTTGTGTTTTCCCACAGGAACCAGGTCGCGAGCCGCTGTGGGTCCCGGAAAGATTGACGCAAGCAGTAAACTCCCCACCAGTTCCTGATAAAGCACAGGAGGATAAGCCCGCGGACACAAGTCAACTCGACCCTTCTGGGACCGACGCTCAGCGCCCGAGACCATCTACAAACTAAAATGTCTGGTTTGGAGCTTTTTCTATTCTGTGGGTTCCTAATATGACAGCTTGGCTGCAAGACACCTACCTACCTAAGTTTCACAATTTGTCCCTCATAGTCGGTCAGGAACTTGACAATATGGACGGTATCCAACTAGGTCCAGTCAGGTTCGATTTATCAACTTTAGGCAGTGTTATAGCCAGTTTGTGGGAACGCGTCACCTCCTGGTTCTCCTGGCCCAACCTGACTATTTGGATCCTGATTGCCGTGGCCTTCCTAGTGGGGCTTGTGGTTATTAAATGCTTGTTAGATCGCCTCATACAAACTCAGCAGCAGGTTAAGATCACAGCTATGGCAGCCATGCAAATGGCAGCAGGTGGCCCATCAGGCCAGCAGGCCGCCGCATATCTCCTTCACATTGCAGAACATCAGCTATAAGAGCTGAGTGGGCAAGCCAATGACGGGTAAGACGGGAAAAGCCCTCCCAGTCAACCTAAGACAGGCTCCACTCAGATATATATGGCCTATAAGGCCAGGGGTCCCTCCCGGAGTCAAATTATTGGCATTGAGATGCGAGACCAAGGGTACTGCAGTGCCATCCGCCTCAAAGTTTGGGGGGAAGGCAGGAATGAATGTCTATATGCATCCAGGTTCGGTTCACAAAAGCCTGGCCCTGCGAAAAAATGAACCACTCACCTTGAGCATGGTCCTGGCGCAAGGATATGCACAAAACAGGGTGATGCACAGCAGGGTATAGACCTCTACATTCTCTCATGCCTCGGCCTACAAGGTAGGCCCACTCCTAGGTGTCTAACAGCAACAAGGTCATAGACACCTTGGAGGGACCCACAGACCATCCTATTTTAATAAATAAAAAAGGGGGAGATGTGGGAAGCCACCTGAGATGGCGCCCATTTCCTGCTTCCGGGTTCTTCCCGGCCTGAACAAGCCCGCCAAATTGTCATATCTGCCCAGTTACCCGTGACGCTAGCCTATCAGCTTGTTAGGCGCGCTTCTCTGTGATTGGATACTGCTTCCCCTTATAAGAGGTTGTTCCTGCCCCCAACGGCGGAAGAGGAATCAACACCGAGGGTGACGGACCTTGTCAGGTCCGGTTCGCTGTACGTAATAAAGTTTGAGAGCTGATCCTGCTCGAGTTTGGTCTCCTGTCTCCCGCGGCTCCGGTCACAGGACATGCCTCACCCTACCTTTCTCTGGTGTGTCCTTGTGACCTGTTGTGGCTGTGCCCTTGGCCACCATGCCCCGTGGCCTGGTCCTGTGGGGGAGGGTCTGCTTTTCTGTCAGGCCTGGGGTGCTCACAGCAGATGGAGTGGGTGCTCTTTCTCAGCTCCTGGCCTGGCATGGGAGAATGAGGCAGGGAAGTTAGTGGTGCACATGTAGCCGCCAGCCACAGGAAACCTCTGCACTGCTGTCTATAAACCACACACCAGGCAAATGGGGAAGCCCTGGGTGGAAACATAATTAGAAACCTGAGGTGACAGAACTGAGGGAGGCAGTGGACTTACAAGTTTAAAGCCAGCAGCTCATCCCTGGGATGCGGTGTCTCACAGCGAGCAGTCACACTCACCAGTCGCTGATAGATGGGGCTGGGCTCTGCAAACTTCAGCCTGAAGTTGCTGTGGTTGTGCCCATTTTACACACGAGGGACATGAAGCCTAGAGAGGCACTGACCTGGAAGCCTCCCCGAAAACTGTGTGAAAGCCTTGGGTTCTCTGGGAATAATGTTTTGCATACAAAGCTCTCAAGTTTTAGTTTGAGGCTGTAAATAAGTCAGTGAAGCATGGGAAAATACGGAGGTTCCTGGCTCCTTTGATGTCTTTCTCTGAATTTCACTCCTGACAACCCAGGCTAATAGGCCTTGTGGTCAGAGACTTCCCTTACTTCAAGAACAGCAGCTGTGACAGTGCAGGAACCATGGGTGGCCAGAAATGAGCTACAGCTGGGACGCTGAGAGAAGGGCCCTCACGGGAGATTCTGAGATTCTGAGGAAGGCCAGGGTCTAGATCTCCCAGGTCTGGGGTCCCCAGGCTTCACTGGGAAGCACACATCATGCCCTCTTGCACATCCATCCACCCAGGGTAACAGATGATCCCATACAATCACATCCTGGGGCACCACTGGGGAGATCGTGTTGGCCCAAAGAGAGACCATTTGCATGCATTTGTGTGGTGGTTTTGATTCCTCATGGGGTTTTACTGCCACATGTTCTAAGACCACGTGAGTTCTAAAGCTCCCTGTCCCGATGTGAGCACACAGACTCACAGTTGATAGAAAAGATGCCCCTCCAGTCACCACTCTTGACTACTCCCCAGCTTTTTGGGAAATAAAAGAGAAACTAGCCTTGGACTTTGCTGTCATTGTTGTACCCCAAAAATGAGACCCGGAGATGTCCAAAAAACCAGGGCAAGACATCTTTTAAAAGAAAAAGGAATGCTTTATTTAAGCTGGCACCAGCGACACAGTGCAGTTGGAGTTTGCAAAGCTGTGTAACCAGGTTAAAATTTTGTCAGATTTATAAGGGAGAAAACCGCAAAGCAAATTATGGGAGGGGGGAAAAATGAGGGGGGCCTTTGTTCCCTTTTTGCTTGAGGACAGAGTCTTTATGGGGAAGTTTCATTTGGTGGTCAGCCGATTCCTTCTTTACAGTGCAGGAGGACAGAGACCCCACTCGCAGGATCATGAAGGTTGGACTGGGTCTGCTTCAGACCGAGGCTGTGCACACAACCAGATGCTTTTCTCTGTGTCTGAGTTGCCTGTCTGTCCTCCAGAGAATATTAGGGTGTGTGGTTCTGCATGTGTGTGCACGAGTTATAACTACAATCGTGCTTCTCCATTGTAACTATTATTTATTTCACCCCACTCTGTGGTCACTGGATAACATAAAATTCCAGCACAATAATGATAATTACCTGTCTCATCCAGGTCCGGTAGAGAGAAATGAGATATGAGCTCAGATGTGCTGTGTAGCCCAGAAAGAACGGTTACTATACTGCAAGGGACTCACTGTCTGCCACTGTCACTGCTGTCCAGATGTCTGGGGCAGTCAGCTGACTCAGTCAGCATGTGGGTGTCACCCTCTGTGCCAAAGACAGGTCACCTGAGGTCGGGGATCATCTTGGACAAGGCAGAGGACACAGCCTTGATGGTTCTCCCCTCTTTTGGGGGAGACAGCTCTTGTGTAGTGAGAACTAACCTCATGCCCGGTGCTTTACAGAATCCTCTCATGTAATTAAACAATAAAAACCTTATTATTCTGTTAGTCATTATTATTTCTTAATTAACTCTATCAAGGTAAGCAGGCCACACCGTGTCCTATTTTAAAGACCTCAGTGAGCCTTTCCAGGAAAAGGTACTTTTCTAAACAACTACCATGCAGTCTTCCAAATTTAAAAATAAATCAGCACGGGTGCATTTCCATTGGAGCTGGAGACCTTCAGACTCAGCTGTATCTGCAAGGCCACTGTCACACCTGGGGTCTAGTTGTTGTGTCCCCTCCATTGCCAGCGTCTCCCTGTCCTGTGTGACCCAGGAGGGCTTCTGGATTGCTGACCAACACTGGGAAGGCTGGCCGGGGTTTGCCTGCCGGGTCCCACAGCCAAACCCACACTGCTTTCTCCCTGGGGACCCCCACAAAAGGACACTGCGCTGGACACCTCATGGGACGCTAACTCCTTCTCTGCTGTTCACCTCAGCTGGGCTCTGCCAGGTTTCTCCAGCCTAAAGCTACCATCTTTCCCACTATCATCAGTGAATGTTTGGCAGGGAAATATTCTAACTTTGGTATTGATGCGCTGGTCCTCACTGATCCTCTACTCGCCAGTCTTAGTGATGATTGCTGACTTCCTTTACAATGGGCGCCAAGGCCGATTTCCTGTTCCCATTGTCCTGGTCACGTTTACTAGTCAGTGTTTTTTTTTACTGTTTGAGGCAGGGTCTCCCTATGCAGTTCAGGTTGGCCTTGAACTGACTTTGTAGCGCAGGCTGGTCTCCAACTCGCAACCATCCTCCTGCCTCATTCTCTTGAGTGCTGGGATTACAAGTGTTACCACCATGCCCAGCTCCCTTTATTTGTATCTTTAAGGTCTCACAGAGTTTCATTTTATCCAATGGGCTCTAAACTGTCGTTCTTTACTTTAAAGTTCAAATCTTCTAAGTTTAGTTAGTGGAATCTTTCCAGCTGGCTCCTGGTGCTTTGACATGTCCGCATGCTTACTTTCTGACACAGACATTCCAGACCCATCTTGTTCCCATTTATCTGTATCTTCAATGTCACATAGATACGTATCTTTTTCAGTGACTGTAATCTAACCCATCGCTATCATTATCTTACAGTAACGGCTTTCCCACCTCTGTCTCTCTTCTCGCACACATGTCCTGCACTTCCGCAAGGCCAGCCTTCTGAAGCCTTGGCACAGCTGTTGCCATTTACCCTTTGACCACACTGGCAGCCCTGCAGGAGCAGAAAGGTCCCAAGCTTCTCGCAGGGCACTGTGGACTCAACACACCCTTCCTTTCCCCTCCCCTGGGCCATGCAGTTCCTAGGACTCCTGAGCCCCTCTCCTCCTCTGGTCTTCCCACCTCCCTCCCTTCCACATCGTGCCAGCCACCCAAGGAGGCACTGAGAACAAATCAGTGACTGCATGGAGTCTCTGTCATCACCAGAGCTTGTCCCAGAGAGGGAGGCGACCTCACAGCTGCTCCAAACAGGCTGATCACAATTGCTGGGAAGAAGAATGCAGCGGGGTTCCAGGAAGGCCTGGCCTGGCAGGGGGCTGAGGCTGTGTCTGCCTCTGCCCTGTGAGCCCAGCTTCCCACAGGCACCTCCTTGTCTGTGTGCACCTCATTCCTCCTGCATATTCGAACTCTAACGTGAAGATTTCCCCCTCCTGATGTCACCTATTTGCCCAGACCTCTAAGTCACCTCTTCTTCAAGGCATGTGAGGCACCAAAAGCACCCTGCCAGGTCCTGTGGGGAGGAGCCCAGCCCCCAGAGGGTATGAGGGGACCTCAGTCTCTTCATTTCTTCCCGCTGGGGTTTTTATTTTGTAAATTTCAGAGACAGCCTGTGACTGTCTGGGTCACATCACATGCCCGTGTCAGATGCTCTTGAAGGTTATTTTTTAGAGATCTGAGTCGGGGTGAACCCCTGGAGCACTATTGTTGAGGTGGAGAATGGGCACTGTGTTAGAATTTGCAAGAAGCCAGGAAAAAAAGGGGCAAGCTTATCCCCACAGCAGTCTCCCTCTCCTCCTTTCTTTTCCTTTTCCATCCTTCTTCCTCTCTTCTTTGATTTCTCTCTTCTTCCTCCCACATAAACACGCCCCAGGCTTCCTCCTCCTTCCAGCCCTGCCCTTGCAGGGAGAGCGGACCGCGCGCCCTCCTAGCCGGCGGTGCTGTAGATGGCGCTATGTACCCGTTGAATGGGGGTCCGCGCGGCTCCCAGGCCTTACCTCCGTGGGGGAGGGGTGCAGTCTGGCATCTTTGTAGTTAAACCTGATCGCTCTGCTCCGTCTGTGGAGCGAGTCTGAGAAACAGATTAGCTGGTGGCTGACCCTGAACGGAAGGTCAGCCGTGCTGCGCTCCCGGGCAGCCTTCCCCGCGGGCTGGCTGGGGTCCGGCTGGTCACCCCGAGGTGTTCCCTGGAACCTCTGCCTGGGTGTCTTTTCTGGGGTCTGAAAGCAGAAGCCACGTTAGTGACACATTCTAGACCCTGGGGTGCAGGGTGGGGGAGCTGGCAGCCAGGCAGACGGACTCTGCACCCTTGGAAGTGGCCTCGCGGGAGGCTTATTCCCCCCCCCCCCCCCCAGTCCAGAGGTCTCTGCCTTTGTCAGGCAACAGTTTGAGCATCTGTGATCCTGCTCTTAATCCTGCATCGCAGGATCCCCCCTAGTGGGGGACCCCCCCCCGGGGGGTGCCCAGCGTGGTGCCTTCTTCAGCCCAGAGGCAAGATCTCAGATTCCTTAATTAAACTGCAGGCTTCAGGGTCCCTAAAATGAATTTGTGTTTTGTTTTTACAGACTGTGTACACGCAGGAGCCACAGAAATTCAGAGCCTTGAAGAAGTGCGGGCTAGGTGACCTACCAGTACATTCTGATGCTAATTCTG